GGAGATGTCAGACATATGGTGGTTCCAGAAGGGGGTTTGATCAATGAAAAATTCTAAATTTTTAATAGAGGAGTAGAAGGAGATTGGCTGGTGTAGTATGGAAAAGTCGGTATGGGATCTAATAATGGGTTTAGAACCAATGACAGTGGCCTGAGTTTTTGGAGCATTTAGCCTTAATCCGTTTACATTTTCCCAGGCACTGATTCGATTTAGATCTTCTTGAATCTTGGCAAATGGAAAAGGATAAGTAGATCTGAGAATCGTCTGCATAAAGGTGGTGGGAACAATGGAGAGTTGAATTATGTAGTTCGTTAATATAGGAGCTGAAAAGAAGAGAAGATATGCTTCAAACCTGGGCAACTCCAGAGGATAAAGAAAGGTAGGCAGATAGTGGTTGATTGGGTATGGAGACTGCTTGAGTACGTTGGGAGAGGAAAGATTGGAACCAAGAGATGGAGCTATTAGAGAAGGATAATGGTTTTAGTTTGTTGAAAAGGATGGAATGATTAATGGTATCGAAGGCTTGGAGAAGTCGAGAAGTATAAGTACCATTTGCTCCTATTCATCACACTTGCTGGTCTGATACATGGCTGGACCTGTTTATCATCGATTCTGCGCAGAATCTTTTGTCCTCGTCCCAGCTACCTGTTCTCTTCCTCTCTTCACATGACCTCATCCAACTATCATACAATATCCAGACCCCTGCGATCCTTCCTAAAACAATAACCTTCAGCAATATAAATTCCCTAACCCGTGAAAGCATCTTACCCGATGTCGAAACCCTGAATTGGAATGATGTTTACACCAGCTCCTCAATTGATACCATGGTAGATATCCTGACTTCTAATCTCCTCCATATCCTCAATACCTATGCCCCACTTAAAACCTCTACATTCCGCCGCCAGCCTGCTCCTTGGATGTGTCAAGAAATTCGAAATATGCAAAAGAGACGTGAGGCAGCCCGTAGACGCTTTTGAAGAACCAGGCTTGCAGATGACTACGAAGCGTTCAGGGTACTCCGTAACTTGACGCAAACAACGATCAGGCTGGCGAAAACCAATTAATATCATGAAGCCTTCTCCTCGGCTCCCGATTCCAAATCCAAATGGAATTTACTCCGAAAGCTATCTCTTTGCAAATCATCTTCTTCCATAGCTGTCCCAGTCTCTCCTGATGCTTTAAATTCCAACTTTTTATCCTCCTCCTCTAGTAATATTTCTCCCGCCTCTTCCCATATATCTGTATCATCTGCATTTAATAGTGACAATTTTTATTTTTCCTACATCACTCCTACGAACCTTATTTCCTCCATAATGAAATCCCAATCCGACTCTATAAGAATTGACGGAATACCCGTCAAACTGTTAAAATTATGCCTCCATGAAATCCTTCCAGTTCTTCTATTCATTTATAACTTTTCCCTTCAAAATTCTGTTTTCCCTACATCTTGGAAAAAAGCCTTAGTCCGTCCTGTTAACAAAATCCCTAATCCCACCTCTCCTAAAGACTATCGTCCAATTTCCATCCTCTCAAATCTGTCAAAACCCATCGAAAGAATTGTCCAATCCCAAATTTCCAATTTTCTCGAAGAGTTCAAACGTTTAGATCCTCTCCAATCTGGCTTTCGCCCGGGCTTCTCCGCTTTAGTCAAAATCACAAACGACATACATACTGCAATTGACAAAAGAAAACTGACTGTATTGGTACTTCTGGACTTCTCCAAAGCATTAGATTCCTTAGACCATTCTATCCTCTACACTAAATTAAAATCACTTTCCTTCTCCAATAGTTCTATCCTATGGTTCCAATCCTTCCTTTCTGACAGGACTCAAGCCGTTAGTATTCCGAATCAACCCTTATCTTCTTTCCTCATTTTGTCTCATGGAGTCCAGGTTTCAAGCATTTCTCCTATCCTTTTTAATTCTTACATCAATGACCTTCCTAGTTCCTATCCACCATTGTTCATACCATCTATATGCTGATGACTCCCAAATTTATCTTTCCTTTCCGCCCAATGAGTTATTAGAAGCGTTTATGAATATTCAGAAAAACCTAGATAGGATCAGTGCCTGGGCAAGCTTAAATAATTTAAACTTAAACGCATCAAAAACTCAGGCAATTCTTATAGGTTCCAACTCCCTCCTTAGACCCATCTCCACCCTTCCTTCCTTGATTATTAATGACCAACCAATCTCCTTCTCCTAAAAAACTTAGGAATTACCATTGATCAAAACCTATCATGGGAATCCCATATTGCTCATATCTCCAGAAGGTCAATTGGTACACTTAAACTATTTCATCGTTCTCGTCAGCATCTCCCACAACCTATCCGCAAGCTCCTCGTTTCCTCGTTGATTTTCCCCTACTTTGACTATGGCTGTGTGGTATGTGGTGGCCTCTCGTTGGAGCTTGAGGACAGACTGAAGAGAATCACGAACTTTTTTTTAAGATTTGTCTTCGGCACTTCGGGATGGTCTCATGTGTACCACCTATATGCCGAGTCAAAGTGGCTCTTCCCCTCTTCCCGCCGCCTATACTTCCGTGGAAATTTCTTATATCAAACGATCAACTCTCAGCACCCTTCCTATATCTACTGTCTCCTCGAGCCAAAACCTTTAGTCCACTCAATAAAAACGAGATCCCGTGATTCTGACCTCTATCTTCCATTACACAAGACAAAAACCTATGAACGTTCCTTCTTAGCCCGCTCCGTCACCTACTGGAATTCTTTGCCACATAACATCCGTCATGCCTCTTCACTGTCAACCTTCAAATACTTCCTTTTCCAATATCTCCTCATATCCCAAACAGACGATTCGCAACCATAAATTTTATTTTATGAAGTGAATTTGTGAGAAGTAAATGGTGATGCCTACAGTTTAAGTTTCAACATAAAACAGCAATGATTTTTGACTATTATTTTTACTATTTATTTGTATTTTTCTTCACCTCAGGTTGTGCTTTTTCTTTCATGTATATATGTTTATATTTTATACTTTTTGTCTCTCTGTGTACCAATATGAGTAAGTACGTATATATAGTTTCTTTTTTACCTTTATACCACAATTATTCCTGAGATTTTATTTTATCTTAGTGTTTGCTTATTATTCTATGAATCACTGTAAATATCATTACCTTTTGTATTTAATTATGTTTCTATTAGATAGCCTATTGTTTATAAATTGTGCAGTTATGTATATATAGATATGTAATTTATTTTCTGTCTTTTTTTTTTTTTTATCATAATAATAAGTAAATTTAGAGAAGATTGTATGTTCATTTATATATGTATGTGTATGTGTGTGTATGTATGAATATGTGGGTGTATTTATATATATGTATATTTTTTAAATTTATTTCTTAATGGTTACATACTACTTTTTCAATAATGTATATTATGTTAGAATTTTTATAAGTTTGTTTTTGGCCAGATTGGTATTTTATTTTGTATTAATTCATCTTTGTTGTTCTAAGGGGACTTAGTCCCAGAATAAAGTTCTATTTTCTATTCTATTCTATAAGGGCAGTTAATTTTTTATCATCTATCGCAGTTTGAATGTCGCTGGTAATTTTAATTAAGGCGGACTGTTTGGAATATCCGGGACGGAAACCAGATTGGAGAGGATCCAGTTGGTTAGACTTTTCAAGGAATTTGGAGACTTGGGATTGCACTTTCAAGGGGTTTTGAGTGGTTAGAAAGAATTGAGATTGGGCGAAAATCTTCGGGAGAGGATGGATTAGGCTTTTTATTTAAAGGAAGGACAATGTTTTTTTTTTTTCAAGAGTTATGAATACTGAATTCTGAAGGGAGAAATTGCAGATAAATCCTACGGAATTGGTGTGGGATTTCATTACAACGGTTAAAAGGTCTGTGGGTGAAATGTCGGAAAAATAAAAGTTATTGTCATTACAGGATATCTCTGGGGAAAAGCTGGGAAGAGAAGGGGCATTAGAGACTGATATAAAATGCGAGTTTAGATTTTTTATTGACAATATAATGAATGTCGAACAATATGTCGCTATTTTGTGACATAAATTAAGTAGTAGAGCCAAAAATCTGAGGGTCAAAGATGCTTCCAACAGGACAATGACTTCATGCACAAACCAAATAAAACAAAATAATGGATGCTGTACAATATTCTCAGCCAATTAAAAACGACACCACAGACTTCAGAGATGCCATAGAACACACCTATGGTATTTGTTGCATTTGAAAGTAAGAAAAAATAAAATTTCTTCAAAATATTATTTAAAAGGAACTTTTTCAGAGGAATGGCGTAAAATTGGACAAGATGTAATTCTAAAGAGATGGATTGTTTCTGGTCGGCCATGATAGGAGTTAAAAAATAACCAAAACTTACTATCCACATACTTTTAAAAACGTTGAAACCACATTGTCAGCTTGCTGTGTGGTTTCTACAAAAGAATTGTTTATAATTCTGGGATGATTACCAGTTAGTGAGGAATATAGAAAAAGAACCAGCCTCTTTAATATAAAAAAATAGTTACCATTTTTTTTTAGGGTCGAAACTAGTATGTTTTCCTGAAGAGCAAGCTTAATGTTGCTGTTCTTTTTTCACCCCTCTCCCCTTCCGACCCAGAAAAATAAAAGTTAACGGTTTTAAAATATTATTTTAGGTAATGTATTTCAAAAAAAATTTTACACGTCACAAGCTACCAAAACAACCTTCCATGCTTGTAATACAAAAATTTTCTAACTCTATTCATGAATCTGTTACGAAATATTGTTCCTTTCGTCATATCATTGTAACTTATTTCGACGGCTAGAATAACTATTTTAGCAATTAAATATTATTTTATTTATATTATTATATATTGACAATTTTACATCCACGTAATGAAACTTTTATTTGCACCTTTCAAAATTTATATTTTTCTATGACGTATTCGAAAATTTTCTACTTTTTTATTTAAGTTTTGGCCTACCTCTATTTTTTGTTCTGAAGTTACATATTCTTTGAGGCGGTCCTCGTTAGATTGTTTGACTCTTCAAAGTTCAAATTAGAAGAGATTTCTGTTTGAAATTCTTGTCTATTAATTTAACAAATCAAAATGTGGGTTTTATATTTGTTGAGTTGGGTGGGGATAATTTTTCAGATGACGTTCTTACTAATAGCTATCGGTACGTATTATTTACGTTATTGTAAGTTTTATTATATGAGTCACTATATTGAAGGTTTTATTATTATATCCACTCGCCGATGGATTAAATATTATTTTTATTTATATTGTGGATTATGATAAATAAAAAATCTAAATTGTATACATGTTATTAGTCAATGTAAAGTTGTGATACAAATTACCTTTTTTTCTGGAATTGAATCTAATCAAATTTAGGGTCTGTGATAAGTAGCTATTTCGATTTTTTATTTTGACAGTTGTACTATACATCTTTTTACATATAATTGGTTTTTATAATAATATAGGATTGTAGGATTACAATTAAAAGATTAAACTTTGCTAATTTTGATACATTGATAATAATGAGTCCTTGAATGTTAAGGCTTAATAACTTATCTTAATCTTGTTAAGAATATTCTTTGTTGTGGAATCATTGTTGAAATGAAATAATAATTTTATTCTGTGACTACAGTCCCCTAAAAATAATAACAGAGTTACATAATTAAGAACCTAAGTCTGGCTTAGATGAATACAAAATGATGCCTAATTAACCGTTGATTGTTACTGCAATTGTGCAGTTGATTGAATTAGACTTGTACAGACACAAGTGAATTTCACATGTTTGCAGAAGTTTGAATATGGAATAGGTGGTGGAACAGGAGTTGTTTGAAGGAATTTGTGAGCGAGGATCGATGTATGGAGTAGAGAGTACCAAAAGGAGGCCTGTTATGTAACTTTTTTTTTGTTGTTATTCATCTAGTAAACTTACTTTTCTTTCAATATATCTTTCAGCAGTATATTAAAAAAAAAAGTTTATCAAAACACACCTATTATTTTTAACAATAGACTTTGTTATCATTAATAAAAAATAATTGGATTTTAAACCATAGTATGTTTATTATGGCTGCCAACATTTCGACCCAAGCTTTTGGGTCATCAACAGGACAATGGTGTCTGGCTAAGTTAGCTCAAGAACTGTGTTATTGACAGTTCTTTAGCTATAGCTATTTAGTTAGAAAATATTGTCTTGATAATAACTCATAAACAAAGATTGAAATTTCCCCAACTATACTAAGCATATAATGACTGAAAATGCTGATTATTCATCATCCAAGATAACCTTCGGAACCACTGATGCAATAGAAATCTTACTTATATTTTTAACCTATCACTCAATATTCTATATCGTATAATTAATAATAATAATAATGTAGAGATGGTTGACTGTGATATAATATGAGAAGGAGTTGATCGGGAGGTGCAGTCAAATAAATACTAAATTATAGAAATAATATTATTTAATTTTTATGCCTTAATAATATTTATAAGTAAAGGCACATCCGTCCTCATATTTTAACATGATTGTTAATACTCAACTACTTAAAGAATTTCATCTACAGTATGTTCAAAGTGATCTTGAACTTATTTGCCATCTTAGCATATCTATCAAAAAGTAGATCTTTTGAAAATGAGGTTCAATTTCTTCCCACGATTTCTATTTTGCCGTTTTACCACTTCCTTGCGAATAAATATGTCTGCCATTTTTCTGGGGATTTATTGCTACAGTAATCCTTCAATGCTACTTCTCACTAATCAGTGCTTTTAGTTCATTACTCTACCATGTAGTACGCTTTAGTAGATAGCCGCTTCACTCCACAGACCAGTACAGCAGACTCCATCTTTAATATGCTTCCCGATGACATCATCCAGGGTTGAATCCGCATTCAATTCCTGCAGTCTTCCTCTCAGTTCATATGCGTATTGCTGTCTAATCTGAGGGTCTTCATATGCGTATTGCTGTCTAATCTGAGGGTCTTGAAGCTTTTTTACCTTGATCCTATCATATGTTTTTGGCTTTATCTTGCCATTCCTTAAGCGCTTGGGTGATAGCAATTAGTAGCATATGATCACTTCCTATATCAGCTCCCTTAATAACCCTCTGTGAAAAACCTCCTGATGTTGCGGACATATATAACATAATAATGCTGTTAGTATGTCTTTCAGCGGCTGAGAAAGTAATTTTGTGCACAGACTTGTGCGGAAAATGTCAATTCCCTGAAGCGCCGTAATGCTAAGAGAAAGTTCAAGAATGATTGCCTTCGCGAAAGGTCTCATATGACATCAAATCGTCTAGCGCAAACAGCGAATGGGGTCCATCTAATTAAATTTCAGTTTTTTAAAATGAAATCTCGACCAAGTAACTAATATTTTTCATTTCATTGATAGGTTTTTTAAATAGTGTATTTTATTAACAGTTGAGATAAGTTGTAGATTTATTACATTAAAATAAATAATTAAAACAATAATATTGGTTTTTATAATTCTATGTTCTTGTTGTTTTTTATGTTTCTATGTTATTTACTGGTATGAATTATTATTTTAATGATTAAAAAAAATAAATATATAAAAATCCCCCTTTTTTGTTTTATTTTTCTTGAAAATAATAGTAATTTTGTACTTCATCGAAGATCGAATATATATATATATATATATATATATATATATATATATATATATATATATATATACACACATATAAATTACCTTTTGGAGTCTAGACATTTTCCTTTCACCCCTGTCATTTTTTGCACTTTGTTTCTCACTAACTAATAATCGGTAAGTTTCTCTTGATTTTATTTCATTGATTTTGTTTTTCTTTGTATGCATGTGAACTATATAAAATGTGCGAGTGTTACTTTTTTACTGTATTTTTCAAGTATGATTGTAATAGCAATTGAAATTAACATTCAAATGACAAGAACCTCTTTGTATTTTGTCATGCCAGACTAATGAACCAATGTTTTGTACTATGTTATTATTATTCTAAGGGGACTTAAGTCCCAGAATAAAATTATTTTTTCATTCCATTAAGATATCACTCAAAGGAGATCTAGAGCTTCCTGACATGGAAGTCATCCAGGCAATTGATTGACTCAGGAACAATTAATTAAGTCCCTTGTATTGATGTCCTCCCAAACGAATTATTCAAGCTAGGAGCAACTGAACTTGTCAGATCCCTTCACAATATCAATCCTGACTGTGAAATGGAGGAAGACCGTAATGTCTCTATACACAAGAAGGGGGATATACTTAAGTATGGTAACTATTGGGGCAAATCCCTCCTCCTATGTACCTACAAAGTATTATCAAATGTACTCTACCAGCGTCTCCTCCCATTTGCTGAGTGGGAAATCAGACTGTACCAGTGTGGATTTATGCATAGAAAGTATACAACAGGTTAGATTTTCAGTCTTCATGGAATTTTGGATTCAATAGATAATACGGATTCAAAATATATCATCTGTTTGTTGACTTAAGGTCTGCATATGATAGCATTGATCGGGATGAACTGTACATGGCCCTTAAAGATCTTAATTTACTTCCTAAACTTGTTCAGCTGGCCAGGATGAGCATGATGGGCATTGAATACTTTGTTCAAGTCCAAAGAAAGCTATCAGGCCAGGGGGTTTCTTTACAGTAAGACGAGCAAAGCAAGCTGATGTTTTGGCATGTCTCCTCTTTAATTTCCACCTTCAAAACACTGTCAGAGAATCAGGAATTCAGACTACAGGCACTTTTCAACAGAACGATTCAACTACTAGCATGTGCTGATGATATAGACATCGTTAGCAGATCATATCCGGCTGTATGCAAGCATTTCTGACTTTTGACCCTGCAACAAGATATCTCTGCCTGATTGTCAACCAAAACAATAAAAAGTATATTGTATCTGATGAGATTGGCAATGTCAACCCTTAGGTTTTTAATAATCTACTAGAGAAGATCTTGTAACCCCAAGTGATTATGATTGTGTGTGATTGCTTGCATTTGTGTGTGTGAATTAAAAATACCTTATGTTGTATAATAAACAATTACAGGAGATCTGGCTCCATCAAAAACATTTTTTAAAAAAATAACAATAAATAAATAGAATAGAATAATAATAAAAAAAGACAACTGTAGAAAAATATAAATAGAAAGTATTGACTTAGCAAATATTAAAAATAATAATTTAAAATAAATGTACAGAAAATGAATTTTAAAAAATATAGTAAAACTAATAATATTATTATATACTATTCATGTGTGTAAAAGTGACAATATACAAATATGCAATAAATAATTTACTAGAGCTTCTTAGTGAACGGTAACAGGGTCGCTAAGTGTGATAAACACAAACACATATATTACAGACATAATAAATTAACTAATTTTACTGCTTTCATTGTGAGACGCAGGACTCTACACAAGATGAGTGAGAGCTAGATAAACTGATGGAAAAGGTATTCAAGCTTTAAAATAACCTGAGAGCCTTTTTGAAGCAGAAGAATGTAGCCTTTAATATTCAGTCTCATATTAACAGCCGAGTAGAAACCTTGACTGACATTTATCAGTACGTACTATGATAAAGTCAAGAATATCATCTGATGATTGAAGAGATTCTGACTCTTTTGAGAGAAATAGTGAAAGAGACATTAGTAAATGAGGATGTTTACAGCACAATAGCTGCTGGAGTTACTGAGAGGATTGTGCCGAAGATTAGGGAGGAGATGAATGTCACCGGTGTTGCTTCGAAGCCTGAGTCAACGGCCGTAAGTTCAATAGAGCTGATCCCTGTTGAGGAATCAATGCAAACATTACAAATTCAAATAGATCCTAGTAGTTTCCTGCTGATCAGAAGGAACAAGAAAACGCCCTCAAGGATCAACGATGATGATAATGAGAGGGAAATGAATGAGAATGAAAAAGCAAAGGAAATACCAAAACTGGCCCTAAAAACGTAAACCTTTGCAGATATCATTAAGACTCTGCCAAACCAACATATTTAACAATAGCTGGACGAGGCAAAACTGCAGGTGATGTTCTTAAGGATCTACCTTCACCATCTGAAATTGGAGTCACGGCTGAGGTGATTTGTGCGACTAATGGTGGTTCATTGTTGCTTCACGTGGAAGATGAAGCGAACGCCACAAAGATTATTGAATGGCAAAGGCTTCAAGAGACAGGCATTGAGGCGAAACTGGCTAAAAAGAGGAAACTTAGGATAAAGGTAAAAGGAGTACCCTTATCTTGGACATCGCAGCACTTAAAAAACGTGTTGTGGACGAGGTTCTCTGAAAAAATAATCCCACCTCCAGAGAACCACACAGGTCTTATAAAGCCATTGTTCTGCTCTATGGCCAGGAATAAAATTACAAAAAATTTGGTGATAGAAGTACACCCAACTGTTAGGTTTAACTTACTAAATGAGGAAGTAATGGCTGGAGGGCGGTCATCCTTAACTATTACTGACTATCTTGATGCCCCACGTTGCCTAAAATGCCAGGGATATGGACACACGAAGGCAACAGTTCAGCAGAAGGAATAATCTGTAAGGGGTGTGCGGACACATTGCTAAGAATTGTCCAGAAAAGATGAGGAAGAACGATCCGACGTGTGCCAACTGCTTATGGGAAGAAATCGCAAAGAACAAAGCATCAAGCGGGTAGCCATGAATGCCCAACACATATTTAGAGGTCACTGAAAGTAGTGAACAAAACTCATTATGAATAAGTTCGTAACAGACAAGGTGTGTGTTATGCTCGATAAGTACGATGTCATGATGGTCCAAGAGCCAAGTTGCCATGGCAACATGGTTACAGGATTTGGCCTCACGTCAAGGGTAATCGGTCTGAGCAGTGGAGAGAAGAGGCCAGGGCAGCAATTGTGATAAACAACCCAAACCTTGAGGTGATGGATCTGAGACAACACACCACAGCGGATTGTGCTGCATGCTATATTAGGTGGGGTACAGTTACTTTTATGTTAATCTCGATCTACCTACCTGATGGGAATAATTTCGAAGACAGCATATCCGCTATGGAAGCGATCACAGGAAATGCTAGGAATGTGATCGTGTGCTCAGATACCAACTCCTGGAACATGGTCTGGTGATTTGGATGGACTAAGAAGAGGCGTCAAAATTGATGAATTTATTGCGAGGAATCAGTTAGTGGTAATTAACGATTCCTTTGACACGCCAAAGTTGGATAGATGTAGCGCTGTTTTCACCGATACTAGTAAACCTAATTGTCGATTGGACCCTCAGATCTCAGACGAGTTCCGACCACAATGACCTGGACTACAGGGTGTCCAGGATCACTGGTGTCACCTGTGATGCTGCAGAAAATTCATGGGAATTTTCTGCAGGAAAATAAGAGCTTAACCAGCCCAATGGTGGACGCCGGCCTTAACTACCATGAAAAGAGACCTCTACAAGGCCCGGCAGTCGTATCAGAGATGTAGTAGCGACGAGAGGCGCACTGCACTTCCAAATGAGCACAAGGAAAAAGTCAGGATATACTAAAATGAAATGCGCAGCCAAAAACAGAAGTCATGGGATGATTTCATCGTTAAAAAAACAGCCAAGAATCTCTGGGTTATTCCATACAGAGTGGCTACGGGGCAACTGGCTCCAATACAAACTATAGCAGCTTTAAAACATGGAGATTCCCAAGCAAACACCCCTGAAGAGCCTGCAAAAATATTCATTGAGATGACATACCCCAGGGATAATCCATCCCACGACAATGAAGATGAAACGTTCATAAGGGGCGCTACAGTATATCCACCTGGAACAGACTTGTACCCACCATGGGACATCCATGATCTCTGATGTAACAGAGAATAGATCGTGCTCTAGGACTTGGCGGTATTAGTGCTGCCATCTTGAAGAACAGTGCCTCCTACATTGAGGAAAGGCTATTGAACATCTTTAATGACTGTTTAGATAGGGGTTACTTTCCGATAGAGTGGAAGATTGCATATTTGAGAGTGCTCTACTAGGGGGGTGACAGAGATAGGCAAGTCGCTAAATCATAGACTAATCTGTCTCCTCCCTGTGATGAGTAAGATCCTGGAGTAGCTAATACTAACCAGTCTGAGACCTAAATTAGACAGAGCTAGCCATCCACGGCAATATGGATCCACCAAAGGTAAGGGAACTGCCATTGCCTTGCTCCAAGTACGCCACGATGTTGATGAGAAAGCGGAGAAATATGTCATGTTACTTTTGTTTGTTTGCTGGCGCCAAAACCCAAGCTATACTTCTAATGAGTAAGACGGCTAGGGCACACCCTATTGTCATGAATATACAAAGGATAAGGGTAAGTCCGCATGAGGAAGTAACTTATCTTGGAGTGAGATTCGGTAGAAGATTCAATGTTATTCCTCACTTGGATTACCTGAGAAGAAGGGTAACCCTAGCCCTCAATGGAATAAGTCGTATTGGTGGCGCCTTCTGGAGCCTCAGGTACCCAGCAACGATGACTTTCTATAATAGAGTAGTACTGGGTATCTTGAGTATCTATCATGGAATAGTACTGGGTATCTTAAGGTATGCCTCCCCAGCTTGGAATTGTAATCTCTCACAACAACAGAAGAGGAGATTGGTGACAATCCAGAGAACGGCTCTGCTGTGAGTAACAAAATCCTATAGGACTGTTACTCATGAAGGGGTTTTAGCAGAGGGGAGGGTACCTCTCGACCTTCTCCTACAAGAAGACAGGCTTAAGCATATTCCTAAGAAAGAAGGCTCAGCAAGTCTTCCGGAAAATCTCCAAGAAAGGATTGCGACAGATCCATCTAAATGGCAAAGAATAATACGGGAGGACACCATTGAGCAGTGAAATTGACATTGGATAACTATTCATATAGGCTCTAACTTTAGGGAATACTTTCCTACCGTCTATTCAAAGTTGGAAGCGAAATGAGTCCTCCCTGATTATTGGGTGTCGCAATTCCTGACAGGTCATGGGGGTTTTCGTGCCAAGCTTCATGGCTTTGGAATATAAATTGACCCCCTACGTCTCTGTTGTGGTGTTCTGAAAACTGCTGAGCATACTGTTACGACTTGTACCACTTTTGAAGCAATAAGGACCAAACTACTGAGAGAAACCGGACTCTACATCATCTCGGAGGACGATTTCCCTCAGCTAGTAAGTAAGCATAAATACTTGTATTATGAAGCATCCCATATGGGTGGAAGGAAGTAGTCGAGGATGATCACTTCAACCTCCACTAAGGAAGATTGAAGATAAGTGGTAAAAGTATCAACTACTTCTACCAAAAATCTGTATTGCCGAGAGGCAGGGAAGAAGAAAATAGAATAATAATAATGCTTCCATTGTGAAATAAAATATGAGCAACTATGTAGCAGATCATCATTAAATATTATCGTGAAGGATAAATGGTTCTTTCAAGGTTATTATTTCATATTCATACAGAAAAGATTTATATTTGTCAAATTATAAAATTCTTATATATACTCTTTGGTCTTCTAATAAGTTATACCAAAAACATTCTCTGGGTAATCTCAGAGCTGTTGTGAGACATTCTACTTCTGAAGATTCTGAGGTCAGGAGTTACTTTTTGAAGATGGGCCACTAAGGACGCTGGATTGCGGTCAGAACTGAAATTCCTTTAATTTTTCTTCTGTTTTTCTTTTATTCTGTAATCTCTTGGATTTTTCACCATTTTTGTCAACATTTGTCGGTGATGTATTAAGCATATTTTCTACTTCATGTAGATGTTAAAGCCTGCCTCTGATTTCGAATAATCATTTTTTTTGTAGTCTACATTTTTATCTATTGCTTGCGTATTTTTATCTATCCTCTATCGTGGAAGCAGTTGCTTATGGCATATTCTGGTAGTTGTAAGGGATACTATAGTTGTATTGTATACTCTTGACAAACTGATATGACTTTTGAAAAAAAACCTCATGTTATGTACAAGATAAATTAAAGATTTAAAATTTCTATCTCTTTTAATGACTTTATTTAATTTTTTAAGAAGTAATTTGCATGTCCTGATCGTAATTTTTCTTCCATCCTTTAAAAATTTTCCCCATTAAAGAATCTAGGATTAAAGTAGTATTATTTAAAGATGATTTTGTATCTTCATTATTTTGTTTAAAAACAGCCAGTAAGTCTTCATTAGAGACACCCATATTAAGTTTACTTAGCGCAAAATTGAATTAAATAATGAGACAATTATTGTAATGTGACAGAAAAATAAAAGTCTCTGTAGATTGTGATGACTTGATGCAGGTGATATTTGCGTATGCGTATGCGTGCACAAAAAATTATATTTACCAATTAATTACATAATTTTTATCAATCATTTTATTTTATTTACTTATAACTTTTTTTTTTCTTTAAAGCATCTGGCTTGTATTATTTAGCCGAGATTGTTGAGGAAAATACTGAAGTCACAAAGAAGGTTATTAGGTGGTTGATAATCGTGAGTATTATTCTTTTATTATGACTATAGCATTTTTTAAATTTTTGGTATGATGGACAATTGCTATAATACAAATTATTAAGATTATCAGATAGAGTTACAATCTGATTTATTGAAGATTTATGTAGTATTCTAACAAGTAGTTCGTGAAGTGAATACCATTATGGAAAGTAGGGAAAAGAATATGATCTTGTGTGATTGAGTCTCTATTTTTGGTTTCCAGCCACTCAGTCATTAGAAATGAGGAAACAGTGTTTTCAAGTATAAGTGAATCTATGGAAGGAGCAGATGGAGGCTTTCAGGCTGATGACTTCTAAAAAAAAAAAAATAATTCTTTTTTTTAATTGGTCCATATTTGTTTCTATGAATGATAGTCCGAGAGCCTGTGCAAAATGTTCGACATCTTATGGAAACTTTGAAAGCATTTTTTTGGATATTTATAATATTTATGTTACAAAATGAGAGTCTACCAGTTGAATCTTACCTGTCAAAATTGTGCCTGATATATGATCAATATGGAGCCTTAGAGTCACATGGAAGATTGTCACATGGATTCTCTTCACTAAATCAATTTATTGATCAAAAATACCAACAAATTTCTCATTGTACTGAAAGAAAAAGATATAGGATGAGTTTTTAAATATATTTATTTAGTAAAAAAACACAGTTACAATAATAATAATAATAGTCTCTATCATTCATTATCATTCTTAAACTCCAATATTTCTGCCAAGCCTTAGCTGTCCTTGTTTGAATCTCTGTTGATTGCCTATCTTTAAAAGAAATCCTTTGCACTAGATATGTGATAATAATAGTCTTTATTTATATATATTTATAAGAGCAGTATTTCCATTTTACATCTACTTTTTCTTTAAATAAATGTATATAGACCTTCCTTTAAGGATTATTAAAGTCTTTAATAGGGACTATCTGTAATTTGGTTTGCTGAGAGTTCACTTATCTTCATCTTCCAGTATTTTTTGTCCTTTGCTTTTTGTGACCACAGCGTTCCTTTTACCTTCTTTATCTCGTCTACCCACCTTCTTTGTCTGCCTCGGTTCCTTTTCATATCCAAGGGGATCCACTCTGTTAGTTTCTTGGCCCAGTTTTCATTGTTCTTCCTCATTAGATGTCCAGCCCATTTCATCTTCTTGACATGCCAGATTACATCTGTGACTCTGGTATCTTTCCTTATTGATAGGCTACTGAGCTTTTGTCTTCTTCTTATGCTTCGCATGCTCCTCTTCATTGCTCTTTGGTAAGTTTGAATTTTTTTCTCATGGCGCTTGTTGAGGGACCATGTTTGGTATCCATAAGACATCGCAGATAGTATACAGCTATTGAAAGCTAATGGTTTTAGAGGCTGCCTGATATTGTTGTTCTTCATTATCATTCTTAAACTCCAATATTTCTGCCAAGCCATAGCTGTCCTTGTTTGAATATCTGTTGATTGCCTATCTTTAAAAGAAATCCTTTGCACTAGATATGTGATTTCGTCGACTATACTTATTTCTGGAAGGTCTGTTTTTACTTTAATGAGATGTGAGGTTGTAATTATTTTTGTCTTCATGAGGTTCAACGATAATCCGTGTTGGGCACTTCTGTACATAAGCTGTTTTAGCATGGTCACTATTTCTTCTTCTTTTCTTGAAATCAATAGCATATCATCTGTATATTTAAGTGTGCTTAGTTTTACACTGTTGATATTGATTCCATATTGATCCCAATCCATCTCCTTTAGAATAAGTTCCAATACTACACTGACAGGCAAAAAATTCCACCTACTTGATTTTTTCATGTTTTCATCTAAAAATATTTCTGCTTTGGATTGGTCTATTGTTTTTAATGAATAAATAGGTTATCTTTTTGTTTGTTTTCAATTAGGAATGTTAATATAGAGGACAATAACCTTTAATCCTTAATTCAATGAAATGATTCTAGATTCCAATGTTTACTTTCTATGGAATCAAAATGTTTATTCAGTATCATTAGTTCAGTGCCGTTTCTTGCAGCACATTTCTTAGTTTCCGGCTTTTAATTTTTTCAATATTAAGTTTAAAAATGCCTCTTAGTGCTGAGGATGTTGTGCGTGGTGTGCAGCTAATGCCATCGGAGTTCCATATGAAACTTTACGAAACGCCGTCAGGCGTTTTCGGGAAACTGGTTCTTACAATAGAAGGCCCGGTTCTGGACGGCCTAGGGTAGCAGAACCACGGGATGACCGGTTTTCGACTTTGAGAATTTTACGAAACCGGCACCTTCCCGTTGTTCAAGCGATTCATCAGCTCGAAGAAGTTCGAGGTGTGCAAATTTCTGAACGTACCGCTCGGAGAAGATTAAATGAGTATGGATTAATGGCTTTTCGTCCAGTAAGAGGACCAGAGTTGACCAGAACTCACAGAGTAACACGGCTGGCTTTTGCTCGAGAACACAGCCATTGGACTATGGGCGAATGGAGTGCTGTACTTTTTACAGATGAGTCAAGATTCGCTCTTCGATCTCCAGACGAGCGTGAAAGGGTGTGGAGAAGAAGAAACGAAAGATATGCAGCCTGTAATTTTTCCCAGAGCCAACCTTTCTAACGTGGTTCCTTAATGGTGTGGGCTGGAATTTCAATGGATCGCCGCACAGAATTGGTTGTTGTTCGTGGAGGGTCTTTGACGGCTATTCGATATGTAGATATTTTTTAACCTCATGTGTTACCTATCCTCAACGAAATTGGCGATCGTTCTATTCTAATGCACGCCCACATACGTGAAGATATTCCTTCAACAGAACAATATTGAGGTTTTAGCCTGGCCAGCACGTTCTCCAGATTTGAACCCCATTAAGCATTTATGGGATAACCTCGGAAGACAAATAAGAGCGTGTGCAACACTTCCTGATACACTGCAGGACCTTGAAAGGGCTCTTCGGGAGGAATGGACTATCCTCCAGCAAAAGGACATTTCCCGACTGGTGGAAAGTATGCCGAGGCGTCTTCAAGAAGTAGTGAAGGCAAGAGGAGGAAACACGCGCTTCTAAACAATGATGTAATTAATTTCTTTTAGAATAATAATGGTTCGTTTTTCAATTTTTTTTCTCTAATCTTTCTTACCCAATTACATTTTGATTATTAAAGGTAAAAAAGATTATAAAATTCCATAAATACTAAGTATTATCTACAAATACCATATATTATATACAACTACAACTTTACAGAAATATTTCTAGATGAAAACATGGAAAAATCAAGTGGGTGGCTGCTATGTAGCTGTGTAAGCAAGTGCAAAGAAAAAAATCTGGTGCAGTAAAAAAAAAAAAAAATACACTGATATCAAAATCATTAGAGCCGTTTTTGAGAAATTGTAAAAATGGGTAAAGTATCTCTTCGGGTTTTTCGATTTTGTAGAAAATGTTGCTGCAGGCTTATAAAAACCTCAAATATGCAATTTAAATTTTGTGGGACTTAGTTATTTGGACTCAGGGGACCTCAAAACGTGTATTTCCGTTGAAAACTCAGATTCAAAAATTTTCATGATCGCAATACTTACCCTTACTATATATTACATAGATAGGTAAGTGAAAGTAAAAATTTTGCCACTACAACCCATGAAGGTTCTTGGGTTCAGTACTATATGAGGAAGTACTGTTACAAGGCCAACGGTTGTGCGGGGAGATGATTGGGCCAAAATCATGCACAACTGCCAGGTTCTCCCCCTTCATTAATTATTACATTAATATAACCCACTTTATAGAGGCTGGTTGTGCCCCAGGAAGGTCTCCTGACCCCGAATCGATCCACGGCTGATGAAAAATTACTATTCATCAGCCAGATTCGAATATGGGACCTTGAGCTCTGGATGTCAGTGCTCACCCACTAAGCTACCGTACTTCCAAAGCTAAATATAATGAACTGAATTGTGACCCGACAGGTAGAATAAATGAACAAATATTCGAATATACTATGAAAATAAAAAAAGGCAAATACATCAATGAAAGAGAAAGATTAAGATTGGTCAATAAACACAGCACAACTCCTTTAAATTTCAGCTTAGTAAAGTTAATTAAAGAAAATTACCCTCCTAGACCAATGATTTCAGGATATGACAGTCCAACAAGAAAATTATATAAATATATCTGACAAATTTTTAAAAAATCTTTCACTCATAATCCATAAATAAATGCATTTGACATAAAAAAAACAACAACAAATTAATGAATATACTAATTTTACCTGATTATAAATCCTTTAATATAAAAAAATATGTTTCCAAATATACCACTTGAATCCACTTTAAAAATAATAGAACATAATTGGGGAAAAAATTAAAACTACAACAAGGCCCCTTTCACACTGGAGGAACTTTCTCTTCTATCAATTCAAGATTGTTGTTCCAAAATTTAAATTTATTTTGTTATTTGTCATCTTGTACTGAGTATTATAAAGATTTTTATTCAGTAATTCTTTTGTAGAAAAAATATACTAAAATCTTATTGGGTGTTTCCAAGGAGTGAATTACCCTTTGCCTTCATTTATTTGTCATTAATCAAATTAAAGTCTATTTTAAGAAAAGGAAGAACTACCTTGCACCAGATTTATGAATTTATATGCATTTTATTGAATGTAAATAAAAAGTTAAGGACATGAATTGTTGGATTGGTAGTGAAAGACAATAGAATTACGTAATATGAAAACTTACAGATAACTTGAGAATGAGCCGGGTGGCTTGAAACATTGTTGAAGACATAATAAATAAGTGGAGGAAGTCAAAGAGTGGGTAATTCATTACATGGAAACACCTTATAGGGTGTGATTAGAGTACTCTTGAAAAATATAGTGTGCTTAATTAGTAACTATATATATATATATATATATATATATATATATATATATATATATATATATATATATTAACATAATATGATTACATTTATATAATTTAATTTTCCTTAAAAAAATTATTAAAATTTTCATTTTTTCTTTTTCAGTTGGTCATTATTGTGTATGCAGCAATCCTGTTGTTTGAGGAGCTACCTTTTATTTTAATTTTGTGTGGCTTTTTAAGTCAAAGTGTGCACTTAATCATACTAACGGATTTTCCATATATAACGATCAATTCATTCTCATTCGTATCAGCCATTATTCTATTTATAATAAACCACTATCTTGCATTTAGTTTTTTTAGCGGGGTATTTATGCCATTTTATGAAGTAAGTTTATTTTTTCTTCTTTTATATTAAGTCTAATCATTAATCAGTTTAATATTTAGTTTAATCAAATTTATGCATGGATTAAGAGATTCTTATGTAGGTATATGTGTTATTTTATATCATAACATATTCTTATTAGATTTCCTTTAGAGCAGGATAGCTTAATGAGCACTACGCTATTTTCTCCCAGGCCTTGGTTCGAGTCTGATTATGGGAATAACTATTTATTTTATCATAATCATCAGCTATGGGGCTGGACATAGCCCAGGAGGATAATTAGTTAAGATAATTAGTATAATAAAGCTATGATAATTAATTATCGTGAACTTAGGAATAATGAAAAGACTGCACATTATGTGAGAATGCAATTAAATGTAAATGGAGTCTTCCCACAATTTTTTATTTTAAAACATATGCTATTTAACTATGCTTTATGTCTGAAATTAGGTATATATATGTAGATTAGAAGTTTTCATCAAAATTGTTCTAATTTTGTCCAAACTTTAATTGCTTAATGCAGATCAGGTTTGGAAACCAAGATGTGATTCAATAAAGATTTATATTATGCTATGATCAATACTAACACCTAATCCTGCCTCTATTGAACCAACCATGCTCAATTTTTGTGGTTACTATTACTGTCTGGCGAACCAGTAGAGGATGATATTGGCAATCGTCATTGCATCTGTATACGCATATTTGTGCAATCAATTTATTTTGTCCATGCCTTATCTGATATCAGTTAACAACAATAGAATACATTGTCTCTATCAGGGGTTCTCAAACTTTTTTTTTGCAGCACCCTTGTTGGACAGCAGTGATATATTAGAATTTACCTATTTTTTGTGCAATATAATCTTAAATTTAGTTTATTTAAATTATTTTATTAATAAATATAACTTTATGGATTTTTGGAATGACTATTTCTCCTCTACGCTGAAAGGCATCAAAGAGAAAGGAATGGCTATTCATCAAATTGTAGTACTTCTTTATGTAGTACCCAAGATACTTCACGGGTTATAGCCGTACAGATTTATTTTATTATCAAATTGACTATTTTGACTTTAAATATTACATATTGAAATGAAATATTACCACAGCACCCCTGGAATATGCTTGTTGCATCAGTTTAAGAACCTCTGCTCTAAACTATATATATTTTCACTTACATATAAATTTGTTTTTGTTAAAGTGTAAATTAAAATTTTTCAATTTTTTTTCAGCTGCTGGGTTTTTTCACAATATGTATTTGGCTGGTGCCTTTTTCATTGTTTATTTCTTTATCTGCCAACGACCATGTTCTTCCAGTTGCTCTATTTGGGCGTGAATCATGGAATCCCCACCCTCCAACTTTCATGGGTTTGTAGATTTGATATGAAAGCTTTATATTAAATTTATTAAACAAAATAAGAGAAAGATGTTATATTTTAAATATTATTTTATTACTAATGTATGTTATGTAATTCTTATAAAAATTTCAACTTTTCTTGTGAATTGTTTCTACCAAACTGTAGCAAAATAAGTGATTTCATCTTGTTACAAAAAAAATCTTTTTTTAGTGTATTCAGATTACTTGGCTACACAAATAACATTTTGCTTAAATGTACACTGTCTCTTGTTTTGTTTTTTTTCCATGAGACTTTTGACTTTGGTAATAATATTAATTTTTCATGTAAGTTTTGATGTGCCAGATATAATAATCCCCCGATGGACCCATGCTACACCAATTATAGATACCTCAATCACTAGATGTAATATGGAGATGACACTTCCAGTTAAAAAATTGTTAAGTTGTTAAGTACAAAAATTATTTTTAGAAAATTTGGATGAATACAAGAAGTGTAACATCTTGTATATGAATGCCTCAAAAGTAGATAAGGAAGTAGGATGCTTTGTACTAAATCCTCATATTCGAAAACTATTTAAACTCACGGAGGTTCATGTTTTACTGGTGAAATGGTAGCGATAAGAGAAGCTTTCAAGTACATAGAGACAACTGAAACTACCAATTGGGTCGTGGTGATGTACTTGATGACTGGTCATTAAAAATACTAGACCAAGAACCACACTAGCAAAAGAAATAAGAAACATTTGCTGGCTGCTAAGGGAGAAGGGTAAACAAATAAGATTCATTTTCCATCCCTTCCCATTGCGGGATTACTGGAAATGAGCAGGCCTCCCAATCGACCAATATGTCAAGAAAGGCAGGCACAACTTCGGTGGTACCAATTAATGAAATCTCTTTAGAGGACTACATAAAAAAATTATGAAGGATAATTTTAATTATTAAATATGTGGAAAATTCGGCAAAATAAGTGGGAGCAAAAAGACTCCAAATTAAGGGAAATAAAAACCCAATGCTCAAAATGGGAAACCTCTTATCGATCCTCCAGGAAAGAAGAGACAGTCCTCTGCAGATTATGAATCAGACAGTATAAGTTTTCACATGCCTATCTACTAAGAGGACTTGATCCTCTGACCTGCGAAAGCTGCATTATCCAAAGAACAGTAAAATACATTATACAAGACTGCCTTACACTGAAAAATATCAGGGAAAATTTGGATATGGCTACAAATCTATCAGAAAATTTAAAAAACATTAGCATTCCTAAAAGTGGTAAACTGTATAATAGAATTTAATTACAAAGTATTACCAATGACCTTGCAGGGTAGAGGCAACAAGAAAAAAATAAAATAAATATTCTTTCAAATTATCTCCTAATTTACTCTTAATTGTAGAACTGTTAATCTCTTATTATTTTAAGCAATCAAGCGTCCTGTATTTTTTTTATCACGAGGATAGGTGAAAATCTTCTCTAATATGTAGCTGGCCCATTCCTATTCAAGTGTGGGATCAGAATCCTCCAAAACCACTTTATGGCGGGGGAGTGGCTGTATGCTGCCTCATTGTATTATGCTACTTCCTGGCTTGTCTTTCCTTTTTCTCACTCCTCAGTCTCTTGATGATCTGCGCTGCTAAACATTGGCCCACCTAGGTCCTCCTATATTTGGCCTTAGTCAGGACCTAGCCGTTGTCACTCTAGCCACCTTTTTGCATTCTCCTTGAACCTGAGCCTTGTTAACGATTCTCACCCTGAGATATGTCAAAGAAAGTTGGGCCTTATTCAGCATGTCTACTAGTCTGATTCTGGAAAAAATCAGCAATATGTCAGAAATTTCATATAAATTTTGCAAAAATTGACCTTTTATTTTTTAGCTTGAAAAATAAGTCATCAATATCTTCCTCTAATGTTCATAAACTGTGGGTTACTTAATTGTAGCCATTCATATTTTCATGTTTAGGATAGTTACATTTAAATGTAATTAATAGCTAGTTGTTGCAATAGTAATTAGTTCTTTCATTGGAATTTGCTTCTGAGGTTATTTCATGTACTAATACTATACTTATGCTTATTGGTCTTATTAGTTATATTCAGAAATTTTCTAGAAATCTATTTCATCATATTTTTTCATTTATTGAGTTATAAGCAAGGCCCAGATTTTTATGCAATTGTATATTTTGTTTGAAGCAGTTTTTAAACTGGTGATCTAATATCTTTATGAATCAATGTACCTAGATGCGATTAGCCAAATTTTATATTTCATATTTGATGTTGAATACGTATAATTGCATATTTTGATTATTTCAAATAAAAAATAATTATAGTGTAACATTGAAGATGAAATTTTATGAAATTCATAAGTTTGTTTTCAAACAACAAAATGATGTTATCTTCAGTAATTGACTTCTTAGAATATGGATTTTTTTTCATTTCTTCTCTCCTTTCTCATTCTTTATAAACTTCTGAACAACACTGTCATTGTCTGTTTCAATCTCTTACTTTCTTTACAAGCAGTTAATTTTTTTTATTATTTAAAGTATTTAAAATAAAACGATAGAAGATTAGGTTTAGAGAAATAACTGTAGAAATTCATTTATTAATTTCAATGTAGAGCATGTCGCTTACTGAATCCTAATCCATTGGCATTCAATTTATTTTCTCCATTTCCCCAATTAATTTTTTAATTAAAATCATTGTACACGATGGGCCAGACCCCTCCCTACCGTGCACTATCCCCTCCCCCCAACATCCCTATTGCATATCGTTGTGTTCCTTCAACTATTTATTTTAAAAAAGCCAATGCTCCCACAAATAAAAGTGAATGCACTGCCCCAAAGATGGCGGACTGACGACTTGGACTTGAGTTAGTTTTTTGTTCACTGAAAATCAGCATTTGATTTATATAAGAGAATAAAGCATTCAATATTAAAATGTCTTATTTTTTTATGATGTGGCCCAACCTCCGAACAAAATAAAGGAAATAAAAAAATGAAATTAGCGATATATTAGTTTAAAACAACCCGGCAACTATTCATTATATGTTATTCAGATTAATTATATTTTAGTTTATGAAACAGGTATTAATATGACTGATTTCTGGGAAAGTATATACAATTTAACTTACTTCTAAGAATCAGTCAGTAAATATACAAAACAAAATGCTAAATTTAAAAAAAAAAAAACACCTGTACCACTACAACCCATGAAGGGTCTGGGGTTCAGTACAATTTAGGGAAAGCACTGTTTCTAGGTCAACGGTTGTGCAAGGAGGTGATTTGACCGAGATCACGCTCAACCGCCAGGTTTTCCCCCCCTCCCCCTCCCAGGTACCCACTTTATAGAGGCTGGGTGTGCCCCAGGAGGGACTCCTGACCCAAGGTCGCCCCACGGCCAATGAAACAGATAAATAAATTTTCTGCCATGAGCCGGGGTTCGAACTCGGGACCTTTGTATTGGAAGCTCAGTGCCCTACCACTGAGCTACCTCGCTCCCCAAAAAGTGCTAAATTGCAAACGTTAAATAAAAAATTCAAGATATTCAGCTAAGTCTTTTCGAATTAAGTTTTATTCTTATTATATCATTTTTACAATAGAGGCCTTCTTAAATGACCTCTGAATAGAACAAAGGAAGTAATGTTTAAAAAAAAAATTTTTATTTTTTTGGACAGTTAAATTATTGCATTAATAGAAGAGAAGAATGATTTGAGTGATCAGTAAAAAAAAAAAAAAAATATATTAAAAATAAATGTAATTATTTATTTTTACTTTTTTTTTTTGACTGATCACCCCAACCATTTTTCTCTTCAATTATTCACTACAGTCAACCATCAATCCACAATTATTGCATTAATATTTGTTCGGTAATACTATCAATATAATGTACCAAAAACGTTATTATAGCACTATAATTATGCCATTTATGCGTATTGAATAATGTGGCAGAGGCCTGTAGGCACCCCTACGCCAATACCACTTTTCCGCTAATTAAGTGCATTTTCTACAAAACCGCTTCAAATATTTTAAAAATTTATCAGTGTTTTAGAAAGAGGAATATATTCTTCAAATGTTTTATTTCAGAAAGTTTTCCGTTATTGTTGGCCGTTTAATTACAAATGACGCTTGATTTTCAACTTGAAATTTCATTTTTTAATATTGTTTCATGTTTTATTATTCTTTGACTATTCAGCTTTAATAAAAGGCCAATTATGAAAAATTAAACCAAATGCTGATTCTCAGTGAACGAAAAACTAACTCCGAGTCAAAGTTGTCAGTCCGCCATTTTGGGGCAGTGCGTTCACTTTTTTTTCGTGGGAACATTGGCTTTTTTTAAATAAATAGTTATGCAATATGCGATATGCAATTTATAGGGATGTGGAAGGAGGGGGCGGTGCATGGTAGGGGAGTCTGGCCCACAGACTATTGCTAATTTTCTATTATTACTAATTGAAATTTTAGAATTTTATGACACATTATGATTTTAACCCGACAAAGGTATCGCTATTGAAATCTAGATGGAAGGTATCGCTTCATCAAATTGACTTCGTTGGTTCTTTTAATATAGCATTTCCAAGTCAATTTCAACCTTTTCCAAGTCAAATTCAACCTTTTCCAAATCAAATTAAACTTTTTCCAAGTCAAATTCAACCTTTTCCATTTCAAATTAAACCTTTTCCATTTCAAATTCAACCTTTTTTTATTTATTTAATTATCTTTAATTTTTCGATGTGTGGGTCTGTTATCGTATGAGTAGTTTTTGAAAATAACCTCCTTTTTAAGATTACGTGACTGAGTTTCGAATTATTTAAGTTTTTTTTAATTATTCGATATAAGGGTGTATTTTTATGTTTCCCTATCAGTAAATTTTGAAAATGACATCCATTTTATGTTTACGCCACTGTGTTTTGATTTATTTAAGTTTTTAGAATTTATCCAATATAAAGGTCTACTTTTATGTTTCTGGAGCCGTAGATTTTGAAAACGACCTCCATTTTAAGATTAGGCCACCGCGTTTCGACTTATTTGAGTTTTTCGGATATTTTTCATATGAGGGTGTATTTTTATGTTTCCGGAGCTGTAGATTTTGAAAATGACCTCCATTTTAAGATTAGGCCACCGCGTTTCGACTTATTTAAGTTTTTTTTATTTATTCGATGTAAGTGTGTATTTTTATGTTTCCGGAGCTGTAGATATTGAAAATGACCTCCATTTTAAGATTACGCCACTGCGTTTCGACTTATTTAAGTTTTTTTGATTTATTCGATATAAGGGTGTAGTTTTTATGACCTCCATTTTATGATTACGCCACTGCGTTTTGACTTATTTAAGTTTTTCGAATTTATCCAATATTAAGGTCTACTTTTATGTTTCTTGAGCCGTAGATTTTGAAAATAACCTCCATTTCATGATTACGCCATTGCATTTTGACTTATTTAAGTTTTTCGAATTTATCCAATTTAAAGGTCTACTTTTATGTTTTCGGAACCATAGATTCTGAAAATGACCTCTATTTTATGATTACGCCACTGCGTTTCAACTTATTTAAGTTTTTAGAATTTAACAAGTATAAAGGTCTAATTTTATGTTTCTGGAGCAGTAGATTTCCCCCATTTTGTAAATGACCCAATTTCAAGTTTATGCCACTGTGTTTTGGATTATAAAAGTTTTTTTTTTTTTACTTTTTCGGTATAAGGATCTACTTACATGTTATCCGAGACGTATTGAAATTTTTCTAATCTTTAATATTTAAATTTATCTAATATTTAAGCTCCATTTTATGATTAAGCCGCTGCATCTCGAATAATTAGGCTTCATTTTGGATTTTTTCAATACAAAGTTTCATCAATATGTTTTCGAGTATGAATAAATAAATAAATATTATGAAGCAAAAGTTAAATTAACCACAGAATACAAACTAAAAAGTCGAAAAGCAGCTGGTAATAAATTTAACCTTCCGTATTCAGATTTTTCAGCTAATTGTTCGAAATCTTATAATTTTGTGACAGGAGACCACAACATTAAAAAAGATAACTAAAATTAAATTAAAAATGAGACAATACATATTTTATTTATTTTGATTAGATATTTTTATTTATTTATTGAAAAATAAATTAATCCTTTGTATTTTGTTTTTTATTCGAAGGAAAAATCAAAAACACTTAAAAAAACCGAAACACAATGGCCTAATCTTAAAATGTAAAAATGTAAGTCCTTTTAAAAACTAAGGCTACGGCATCATAAAAGTAGACCTTTAAATTGGATAAATTCGAAAAACTTGAATAAGCCGAAAGGCAGTGGTGTAATCTTAAAATGGAGGTCATTTTCAAAATCTACGTCTCCGGAAACATAAGAACACACTCTTTTATGATAAAAATGCGAAACACTTAAAGAAATCGAAATGCGGTGGCCTAATCTTAAAATGGAGGTCGTTTTCAAAATCTACGGCTCCGGAAACATAAGAATACATCCTCATATGAAAAAAATCCGAAAAACTCAAAGAAATTGAAACGCGGTGGCCTAATCTTAAAATGGAGGTCGTTTTCAAAATCTACGGTTCCGGAAACATAAGAATACACCCTCATATGAAAAAAATCCGAAAAACTCAAATAAGTCGAAACGCGGTGGCCTAATCTTAAAATGGAGATTGTTTTCAAAATTTACTGATCTGGAAACATAAAAATACACCCTTATATCGAATAAGTCAAAAAAACTTAAATGATTCGAAACGCAGTCATTTAATCTTAAACTGGGGGATATTTTCAAAACTATGTACAGGACAGCATAATACTAGTCCCTAATAAATCCAAATAGGTACAATAAATCGATATCCGTAAGTGAAAATTCTACTTAGGAGAGCATAATAATAGACTTTCATATTGGAGGGGGGGAGGGGATGGCCATTATTTAAAAAAAAAATATAAGATTTACAAAAAATTAAAACATTAATTTGAAATGAAAACGGTTGAATTTGAATTGGAAAAGGTTTAATTTGAAATGGAAATGGTTGAATTTGACTTGGAAAAAGTTAAATTTGATCTGGAAAAGGTGGAATTTGACTTGGAAATGACATAGAAATATCACACTGAAAAAATCTAAAATGCTAAAATAAATGGATATGCAACCGCGTTATCAAAATTTTTTTTGTATTTTTCAAAAGCTATGCCTTCGATAATATAGTAAGTGGCCTTCATTTTGAAAAAAATCGAAAATTGATAAAAATTCGAAAGTTGAATTTGAAATGAAAAAGGTTGAATTCGACTTGGAAAAGGTTGAATTTGATTTGGAAAAGGTTGAAATTGACTTGGAAATGCTATATATAATTCTTGTGGAACTATTTATTAACCATTTTATGATATATTTAGTTAAACTAATTGAAACAACAAAAATAACCATAACAATATAGTTAATAAAATTATAGAAGTCAGTTTGCCAAAATGCATTTAGAAAAGAACTTTTTATATGGAGATATGGGATCAAAATATTGTTTAATGTTAATAAATGAATTATTTATTTTATACAATATTAAAAACAAAAAAATTGTCTTACACTGCATAAGTGGTAAAGAGGATTAGATTATGATGATGATAATTAAAAACAAAATAAAGATAATAATAAAATGAATCTCAGTGAAAAACTTTGAAATAATCAATTGGCTCAAACACGTATCTACATTTTTACGTAGAACTGTAAACAGTGTTAACAGTGGAAACTTTCCCTGCAATTGGTGACGGTCGTGCTCCACTCAAAATCATTTTTTGCCTTTTTAATGCAGTTCTGGTTAGCCAATTCAAGGAAAAATATAGGTTCATCATAGAAATGTAATATCAAAATTGTAGGACAGAAGATCAAAGAACTTTTTGTCTATTATTTTAACTTATTCGTGTCCCATCTAATCTGTTCATAAAAAATAATTATTTTATTTTATTTTTCTAGTTCTAATATGTTTACCATGACTATGACACTATTTAGGGTTATTTTGTGTACCTTATAATAGAGCCCTAAATCTTTGCGAAGTTTTGTGTGAATAGGTAGACCCATGTTGTTGAAATTTTCTCAATTTTTGTAATTTTCAACAAACAAAATTAAGGCACATAAGCCTGGCATGAAGAAAATGCTTCTTGATCTAGTAACCCATCCATCCTTTGCATTAAAGAGAAACATTTATAAAAATATTTCATTTATTCTTATCATTTCATGAATTTATAACACTTAACTTATTATTTTAGATTTCTTTTGTAGATGAATAAATAAATAAAAAAAACTCTAAACCTAGGCTAAAAACTAAAATTTTCTATTGTTATGAAAATTCTTATTAAAAAGTTTTTCGAGGAGTGAAATACGAATATCAACTTTGTGAATAGGATTTAAATTTTTTTATTTCTATACAAATTCACGTTTCATTATACTAAATTAATTCAATTTCATGATAGCTTTCTATTTTCTTTTTAATTAGTATTTTTAAATGTACCTTGATAGATGAATAACAGATTAATAGATCTACTGTCTATATTTTCAGAGACCAATGAAACAGATGCATTGGGAAATTACTTGTCCAAGAAAAAGAATAAATACAGCCTCCTCACTCTGATGCACTACTGTAAAGAACACTTTTTTTCTCAAAATAAAAAAATGTTTTGAATTCTTGTAATAATAATGGTTTGTTTTTATGTAAATATATATATATATTTTTTTTTTGTTTTTATTTTCATTGTTAACTGTTATTTATAACTTGATTTTTTCTGAAACTTAAAGTTTAGTTTTGATATTAAGAAGTTTTGTTTTTGTTCTATTTGTGTTCTAATGTTTAATTATGTTCTTGTTCTAATGTTTAATTATGTTCTTGTTTTAATGTTTAATTATATTCTTGTTCAAATGTTTATTTTCTGTTCTGATATTATTTTAAGTGTAGTATATAATGGTTTTTATAAACATTGAAATTAAAATTACCAATTGATGGCTGAATGTATAGTAATTATTTTAATTGTTTTCCAATAATAAAGTAGATTTTTGAAAATCATTTTTATTCAATTTAAAATATTATTTTTATCAAGTTTTGATTAGATGTATAAATATATATTTTACATTGAACAATCATCACTATTTTACATTAAATAATCATCACTAAAGATGACCTCAATGTTATTTTCTAGTTTATAATTTATAGTAAGTTTTTTAACTTACAAATTTATTTACTGTTCTTAAAATGTGAATTAATATGAAAGGTACATGGAGTATTTATAAAATTGTAAATATTATTTTATGGCTGTGTCACCAATATTTATGTATAAAAAAATATTTGTAATTGCTCAAAGCATGTTTTTTACTATGACTGTTCCATAAAACTGTTAAAAATCAAAGTTTTTTTTTTAATGTTATAACATATCTATATATCCAAGTCATATTTAACTTTTTCCAAGATGAATTAAACTTTTTTCATCTCAAATTAAACTTTTGATTTATTGTAACTTTTCAAAATAAGGGTCCGTTGCCATGTTAGGGTCTACTATATATTATGTTATCGAGGGCGTAGTTTTTAAAACACTATCAATTTTATGACTACAAGGTCAGATACAGATTTAGTGTACCTTTTCAGATTTATTCAATATGAGATTCTCTTACTAAGTTCCTGAAAATGCTATGAATTTTAATAATTCGGTGTTGGTTAACAATTTATTTAATTTTTTATTTGTAAGTGTCAATCACTGAGTTGTCATTTTATGATTGCTCGGTCGATTATCTATTGATTTATTGTACCTTTCAGGTTTATTTGATAAAATGGTCTATTATGTTTTTGAAGTCATAGTACAGAGTCAGATCGAAATTTTATGCAGATGAGTGGCATTTTAAAATTGCTCCCAAATAAAGGGGAAACCCAAATGCATAAAAATTGTATCATTTGAAGATTATTTGTTTCAAATCAACATGGAACAATAAACTCCCCAAATGCCAAAAAATGTCTGCCGGAGTTGGACAAGCAGGTATCGGCTTGGAAATTCGAAATCAACATTTTTTTAACCTGGTTATGCACTTTTGGAAATATGAAGGGTTCAGCTATTCTTATGAATATAATTATCATAAACTACATAGTAATGCATTTTATCAGCTCCAATTTGAGCCCAAGTAGAGCTCTAAACGTTCAATAGTTTTATTTTACCAACTATCATGGAAACTGCTGAACGAAAGATAATTATTATACTCTGTTCGTAAGAAAAGAGTTGCAACAGTTCCTATCATATTTGCTAAAATAAAATTGTGATTTATCATGTGTTTTGAAAGACAAATTCTGTTGAATGTAAAGAGCTATTTGGAGTTGCTAAAATAGATCAAAAATTAGTTGATATCTATCTTCGTTGGAACAGCTGTTCCCTTGAAAGCAAAAATTGCGGAAATAATCTATTTTTTTCGACCGGGGCTCCATCCCATCTTAGCGTATTACCTTCTGGGTGGGGTACAGTTTCAAGCGGGTTTGGAACAAATCATCTTCCAATTATGCTATTTTTGCACTTTTTGGTACCACATTTCAATTGGCCTAATTTTTAAATGCCTTTGAGCTGGTAGTGGAAATAGAATGTCGAGAATGAACATTATAAAGGTGTATGACTTAAAGTTTTTATTCAAATGAAACATAATTTCGGACCCGGCTCTGAGACTATTACTTTAAAAACACTACAATCGACTATTATATTGAAATAAATCCAAAATTGTTAACCTATAGATATCCTATCATTAGTATGGTATAGTTTTTTATTTTTTAAAACAATACCATAATCTGAAATAATAATACCATAATAAATCTGAAAATTGTGCCAACGATAACATAATATAGACAGAACCTCATATCGAACAAATCCGAAAAGGTACAATAATCATTACATTAAAGGTACGTGGTAAGGTTTTATACCTTACCACACAACCAAATTATAAAGTTTATGTACTCGTTCGACGCACAATTTAATGTTCATTAATTAATTAAAGAGTACATTTTTCACTCATAGTTTAGGAGTTATAGGGGAAAAAACAAAAAAAATTTGAAAAAATCTGACATTTTTGTCTCTAAAAAGTTTTCCTTTGGTTGCTCGTGTTAACTATTATGGTTTTTGCATGTGATACATGAACCCATATACACAAATTAAAAAATAACTTTTCCCACTTTGTTCGCAATGGATTTCCCGTTACGATCCTCAAATTACTGGCCTAATATTCTTTAAATCAGCCGCCAATTTTTAAAACAAGGGCTCTGGAATGGTAGACAAGGTTCTTTTACTCAGAACAACATACACTTTCACAATTTACAATCAAACCTTCGCCTCCTATGAGATCGGTTTTTAGGCACGGGCTCCAGAGCTATTATGTGTCCCAATTCTTAAACAATAAGTTATATTATATACAGGGTGCCCCATTTAAATTAATGTGTATGCACCAACCAAAGAAAAAGAGGATGAGGTGAAGGACGATTTCTATGATCAGTTGGAAAAAGTTGTGGACCAGGGCCCAAAACGACATAAAATTAGTCATGGGAGACTTCAATGCCAAGATAGGTCGAGAAACACAATTTAAGCCCATCATCGAAGGACAAAGTTTCCACGAAACTATCAATGACAATGGAGTGAGATGCATTAGTCTGGCAGCAGCTAAAGGTCTTGTAGTAAGCAGTACAATGTTCCTGCACAAGGGCATACATAAGTATACCTGGGTAAGTCCTAAAGGAGCAAAAAGCCAAATCCACCATGTGCTGATAAACAAGAGGAATCGAAGTTCCATACAAGATATAAGGAGTTATCGTGGAGCAGAGTGTTAGAATCAAACTGTCAGAGGCTGAAGCGAATCCACGGAATTGGGAACCAAGTAGAAAGAAAGAGGTACGAAGTACAAGCTGAATTTCAAATTGAGCTGAAAAATAAATTAGAACCCTTGAACTCGGAAGGTCTCACGGTTGACCAACACTGGGAGGCACTAGAGTCAGTGCTAAAACAAACAGCTAAGGAAGTAATAGGGATTCAGGAAAAAAGAAAAGCCAAGAAATGGTTCACAGAAGCATGTAAAAAGGCAGTGGAGGAAAGAAGAAAAGTCCTCTGCTTACACTGATCAAGCTATGCTGGAAAAATACACAGCCGCCAGGAAAAAGAGAAACAAAATAATAACAGCCAAAAGAGAATTCCTCAAAGAAAGATTACTAACTATTGAGAAAAACTGGCAGGCTGGAAATATATGCAAATTCTTCGCAGATATCAGGAAAGAAAGGGTAGAATATAAAGCGAGAAATACACAAATGCGAGGGAAAGATGGCAAATTGATGGCATCAAAAGAAAAGATTCTAAGCATCTAGAAGGAACACTTCCAGCAGCTGCTTAATCAAGGGCACCCCACAAACGAAGAACACATGGACCACACTAAGGACATCGACCCACTTGTGGTTGAAAAACCAGATATTCTGGATGTGGAAATAGCTATCGGCAGACTTAAAAGAAGAAAGGTTCCAGGAATAGACAACCTACCATCAGAATTGTTCAAGGATGGAGGAGAAGAACTCAGAGCCAAGCTGTTAGATCTAACCCAGAAGATACGGGAGAAGGAACGGATACCAGAAGCATGGAACACAGGGTTGATCTGTCCTATCCTTAAGAAGGGCTCCATGTATCCATGCAATTACAGAGCCATAGCACTTCTTCCGGTCGCCTATAAAATAAGGACTAATATTCTACTAAATCGGATACATCCGTATTAAGAAAACATAATAGGCGACCATCAAACAGGATTCAGGAGAGGGAGGAGTACGCTAGATCAGATATTTATCCAACATATTCAAACAAGTACTTGAAAAACAATGGGAAGTAGATTAGGACGTATACACATTATTTTTCGACTTCAAATCAGCCTATAACTCCATTGACAGAAACTGTCTCTGGAAGATCATGACTGAGTTGGGTGTTCCCGGGAAATTAGTGAGGTTGACGAAGGCGTGTACAAATGATCCTAAATGCAGGGTACTAATGCAAGAAGTATCTGAAGCCTTAGAAGTTCAAACGGGTTTGAGACAGGGAGATGGACTCTCGCCAATGCTGTTCAATTAAGCATTAGAGAAAGTAATAAGAATAACATCACGTGAAGATGGAGGGGTGCACGTTGGAATGAAACACGAAATCCTAGCATATGCCGATGATATAGTTGTCTTCGGAAGTAATCAAGAGGATATTGAGAGACTCGCTCGGACTCTATTAAAAGAAGCAGAGCAAATCGGACTACAGGTCAATGTAGATAAAACAAAATACATGATAATTAGCCGAAACATCCACCCTAATAAAATGATCTGCGTGGACTCTAGGTCATTCCCGAAAGTAGACAGATTCAAATACCTCGGCTCCACAATAACCTCAATAAATGATCAACTACCAGAGATAGACCAGCGAATAAGTGCGAACAGATCTTTCTTTTCTCTTTCAAAAGTACTGAAATCCAGAAAAATTTCCAGAAATCTCAAAATAAGGGTGTACAACGCCGTGATTAAGCCAGTTCTGCTGTACGGTTGTGAAAACTGGGCTCTAACCAGCACATTAGAAGACAGAATTGAGAGATTCAAAAGAAAAGCTCTACGTAGGATAACAGGACCTATATGGGACCAGAACCTTGACATATGGAGGAGAAGGAACAATAAAGAACTGCTGAAAGAAACAAAGATACGGCTGAGCTTCATGATGCAAACTGGAAAGCAGTAGCCCAAGATAGGCAGAGGTGGAGAAGGCTGGTTCAGATGGCCTAAGATACAGAAGGTCTGTAGAGCCCCAAACGAAAAAAAAAAAAAAATAACATTTTAAAAAAATAGCAAAGCAGATCATGTTGGAGCTGAAAAGAAAAATTAAAATGTGTATAAAATGGAATATTTTTCCTTAAACAATCGATTGAGAATTCTTCCACATCCATTGCATATTTTACACCAATATCTCAGAAATAATTAGGATTACAAAAAAGAAAATGAATTTCTAAACCTATGTCCTAAGATATTTTCGAAAAAAGGAAAATATGCAATTTTTTGACCTTTTTCAGCTCCTCCCCCCAAACCCACCCCTTGAACCTATAGGACTTTTTAGGTAATAATAAGAAAAAGAGGATACAAAAAACAGTGCAGCCATCAGACCTTGAGTAAAAGACTAATTCCATCACACTAAATGGGAAATAAAATTTATCAATAATTATAGATTACAATACTAATATTTAATGCATCATTGTAAAAATTAGTAGGCAGAAATCATTTAAAAAGAAACAGCTGTATATTTTATCTACAAATGCCATTTATTTCATTGAACACATATTATATATAATTTTTTTTTTTTTTCATTACAGATCTTGAGATATCAAATAACAAAATTTGAATATTTAAATACTAGAAGGATATAAGTTTTCTTGATTTAATTATTACAATACATACTTAAATACTTAATTCTCATTATACTATAATTATAGGAGAAACTCCATTCATGCAGAGATCTACACAATATACTTATTAATATAAATACAATTAGAAAACAATGTTTAAAAATAAAATAACAAATTTTTTTTAAAATTACAACACGGCATATTTGTTTGCTAGGAAAAAACCATAAATTGTTGTTTCATAGACAGTGCAATTGAGTAAAATATTTTTTTGAATATAGACAAATGAACAGGTTACAGAAGACCATAAGTTCAGAATTACTTTTGCATTTTAGAATTATTTAAAATAATCGTCCAATTTACATCTGGACATTAATTAACAATTAAAAATCATTTTTCAAAGAAATAGTACATACATAACTTTAGACTCATAATTGTAAGTCCGGGTTAAACAAGTTCTTCACATAACCTGAAAATGTAAATTTGGATTAAAAGGAGTCTTAAAACCATGAGTAAAAAGAATATAAATAGTGATATATTTTCAGTCCTCTGGTAAATTCAATATAATTTTCACTGTATTAAGTGATCAATAACTTATTACTTTTTATAAGGTAATCAGGAAGGCAGTCCAAATAAAACAAAAAAATTGTAGAACTATTTGATAGAAGCTAGCTTTTCAGCCCACTTTGCTAATCAATAAAGACAAGATATAACAAATTTTGAATCCAATAAACAGATAAAATGTAAGTATAATTTCTCATCAGAAAAACATTATTGTTGTCTAAATCCTTATCCACCACTGGCTACCAAACCTTTTTTATTCTTGATATCACGAAACTGACAAAAAATATTTAAAAAAAAAAGCTTCTTCCATAACATCATTTAAAAACATGATCAATAATTATAAGAACCCCACCTCAACAGCCATTCCAACCCAAAATTCTTCACAGCCTTATTTTAAAATTGAAAAAGTTTATCAAGCTGTAATCCAAAAACTAATATTTTAAAAACTTTTTTGACACACAAACACCTTTCTTCCAAATTTGAACTTTTTAAGAACGAGAGATGTGATAATATGAACGAGATAATACGAGAATGAATGGCCTTTCCTTGAAAACTGTTCACTAAGAGGACCCATTCCTCAGTGAATAACACATCTCTAATCAGATGTGAGCCCTTGATTTCTTTCATACCCCAATCCTATTTTAAGCTTTTATTTGTTTATATCAGTGTTAGGCATTTACTCAAGTAAATATCCAGTGGTGACGTCACGAGTGATCACTCTTAGAAGCTTAGCCATAGAAACATTTTTCCTCCATGAGTAAATCACTCGTGAAAAATGTTATCTCCATGAGTAAATGACTCATGAAACATTTTAATGCCATGAGTAATTAAAAAAAAAAATGTTTTTATTTTATTTAATCTAATTTTTTTTTAAAACTTTTATGGATTAAATCGATATCAGGGTCGACTCATATGTTTAGTGGGGAGCTTTTTATGAAAATGATGTCGAATTTGAGAATTCCCCCGGGCCTTGACTTTTTGTAACTTTGGGATTAAATTGATATCAGGGTCGACTATTATGTTTCAGGGGGCGCTTTTTATGTGGCTTTATCCTTCCTACTGTCGTAAATATTTCCTAGCATTCCTAACCTTCCTCTTCCAAGTCATCCAATCCCGCCGTCCTTCATACATCTCCGAGCTCCTTCAATTCAAATCTTCTGTTCGCTCCAGCAATATACACATACATTTATACACAAGGGCCCGCCGAACAGCTGCTTTCGACAGATCGTTCATTATCCGTTCTTCATCCCTATGGAACTCCATCCCTTCCCACATCCGTCAATCCAATACCCTTCCTACCTTTAAATCCCACCTGTTCAATCATTTCTTATCCATCCAGTCCCCATAAAATTGTAAATAGATACTACTGTAAATATGTATATAAATTATTAGATCGTCCTTCATTTTTTTTTCTTTATTTTCTTTTTTTTTATTTTCTATTATTAACTGATTAAAATTAGAAAGTAACTTATAATTTTTTTATTTTGACTATTTAATTACTCTGTATTTTTGTTTATGTATCTCTGAGGCTCCTTAGCCCACATTTCGGTCTTTCTGTATTATTCTAAAGGGACTCATTCCAGAATAAATAAAAATAGTCATATCTTAAAATTTGTCCATTATTGAGTGATAATTTAGCAATAAATCCTCTAATAAGTACCTATGCAAGATGTCTCATAAGTAAAGGGAAATATTTAAAAGATTAATAAGTAGACATCAAGATCTACAAAAAAGTTCATACAAACAATTTCCCAATTTCCAGCTGATACATATAACATTGAAGATTTGTGTTTTTTAAGTGAGTCAGATTTCTTGTTGAATAGGAAACGATAACTAAAAAAATATTTTATTTAAGTAATTAAACATTTCTCCATAGTAAACTAGACAAAATTTACTTTCAACGAAAGTAGATTTTGTCATTGTTAAAACCATTTAAAGAGGACTATTGAGCAGACAAACTCAGTCAAGTTCCGTTTAAACAATAGTCATAAATTATTCGATTTTTTTTTTATTGTCATCCAATTATACTATTGTTACCCCACTTTTACAAAAACTTCCACATTTAATAAGCTTAAAGTCCACATTAATTAAGTTGAGGTTTATTAGGAAAAAAATTGAGATACATCTTAAGTTGTTAATTTTGTTGTTATTTCTCATCCATTGCAGCTCATGCTTCGCACGGGCCTACTAGTATAGCTTATTACTAAAAACTATATATATATAGTTTATAACTAATTCATCTATCATACATTAGTGAAAATTGTAAGATTAGAGTAAAAAAAAAGTCTGTTCGTCTTTTAAATATCAAATATAATGTTCTAGAGGAAGAATTTTTTTAACTTGATTAGGATTTTTTATATAAGAAAAATAAACTTTAAGTAATTTATTTTTAACACCTTTATTTTATTTTCATACAGTGAGAGGATATAAAAGTTGAAACTTGACGCTTTTCTCTATTATAAAATAAAGTGAGCTGCAGGCGATTCTTATGTTAGTACCGCATTTTAATATAGTACCGCATAAGCACTTTAGTTTTTTTATTGGCACAAACAGAGTAATAATTATCCATACGATACTAACTGTGAGGCGGGATGGCCGAGTAGTTCAGTCAATGAATTATTAAAGAAGGAAAGGGCGGGGACACAATTTTTGACTATAGGAAATTGTTTGAACTAGTAAGAAGGTAAATATACAATAAGTCCCCACTCCTAAAGTGGTGAGCCAGAGGGGAGGAGGGGCGTCTAGAAGGTCACTTTTTTCGGGTTTTCACTTATATCAGGGTCATTCTATGCCAAATCATCCAGAAAAAGTTCAATTTGTACAAATACAAGTAAAAATTTCTTAAATCTCTCACCAAATGTTCTGTTATAACCACATATTACTGAAAATAGCATTAAATTTTCTATCAGAATATTAAATAATACTTGTGGAATTTTGAGTGTAAAAGATTTTTTATAATGTAAATCAAATAAATTTTTGCGTGATGAGGAAATGATGTGCAAGTCAATATCGAAAAATACCTGTAGCTAAAATCTCTCTCCGAATACACCAATACAACCATATATTAGTGAAAACAGGATGGAATTCTCTATCAAATGATAAAATAATATTAGTGGGATTTTGAGTTTGAAGAGTTACATTACAATTTAAACCTAATACATTAAAATTTAATTTATCAGTTATATGTACAGGTAAAAATTTCTATAATATCTCTCCGAATACAACAATACATTACTTGAAACAAAATTAAATACTATCCCAAATGATAAAATAACATTGCAGAGGGCAATTGAGTTTAATGAGATTAATTATATTAATAAAACAAACAAAAAATTCTACATATTGCGGTGTCGGTATGGTCAACAAAGTAATGTTTGTAAGTATTAAATTGGAAAGTGAATAACTCCTTGATTGTTTAGAGTTAGAAGTTAATACTACAGATGTCAAAATATATTAAAATTAGATACTGGAGTGATTTTCAAAGACCGAGCGGTCCAACGACATTTCGCCTACTCGCATATTACGACTCAACATAAGCTTGAATTAAATTGAAAGTGCATCAACATTTTTATTGAGCAGGGGGGGAGAGGGCGCGGGGGGGAGGGGGGGGGGGTGTAATTAATAATATATGAAAAGTTTAAAAGCCATTAGAGCGCTCGGACTTTCAAGCGCATTTTGATTCTTAAGTTTTTAATTATTATGAATTTTGATGTCTCTCATACTAACAGAATGCATAAAAACTGGATAATTTGTTTATACATAGCTGTCAGCGTTCTTCAGATAACCAATGAATGGTTTTCGAAGGTTTAGCCACCGGTTTGTGAGAAATATCATGTATTCAACGCAGAAAACTGCAATTTTTAAAACAAGTCGATGCCCGACCGGACTTATTTTAAGGTTGTCTATTGTTCTAATGGGTGTTCGCCTAGAGACAGAATTACCATAAATAAAAAATAAATACGTCCATAGATGTATACATTACAGATAGTAAATAGTATTGGTATATTTTCTTTTTAAAAAGCATTGTTTTAACTCCATTTTGTTTATTGCCTTGTTAATTAATTTCAAAATAACGGCCAGTGTTTTATGATATTTTCACCTAATTAGTCCCTGAAAGTTACTATTACAAAAAAAAATAAAAAAGCTTTAAGCTCTGTTGAGAAATGTGGTTTAACCTTTATTATTCCCATATTTACTTTATTTTTTTTTTTTAAACCTAATAAATTTCCAAAAAAATTAAATTGAGGACTAAAGCGATTGTGGAAGGTTCAATCTTCCCCAATAACTTAAAAATGCAAACAGTTATAAGATTTGAGAACCTACTTCAAACTGTAACACAATTAAGATAAAACATTTTACTGAAAGAGTTATAAAAATTTAAAACAAATACTAAATAACTTTACATGAAATGTTTACACAGAAAAATTACTCGTACCTTTAAATAAGAGAATATCAGCAAGCAATTTTTTTCATAGAATTTACGTTTTGAAACATACTATCGAATGGAATAAGTCCCAGCGTGAGAGCTAAGTAGTTTATTTTGAGTTTGATTTACTTTATGCTTAGATTTTTACATAGCAATGAAAACCAATGAACCGTAAGACTGTACCAAATTTTTAAATATTTATTTGTTTATAAGTGAGACATTTCAAAGACATAATCAATAACTTCTCTCTTATCAAGACCTGAAAATATTTATTCAAAATATCTGTCAATACACATTCATTGTTTGTAAAACCACTGAAAATTGCTCATTAATTTTTGTTTAACGGCTAAATAGGGGGAAACTCGAGAAAATAGTTATGGACTAGGTTCTAGGGATGTTAAGGAGAGATAATATAGTACAAAAAGTGTGATTGGAACATATTCATTTTAAAGTTATTTTTCACTTCTGAACCACTGTGCATCTTGGCATTATAACAATGAAGTTTAGCAGGCCTCTTAAGGTCGTTATAAACAACATCCAGTGTATATTAATTCCAATTTGAAAAAAATATTTTCGAACTAAAAAAATTCCCTGAGTTCAACAATTTTTCCCTGACTTCTCCCTGTTTTGGAAATTCTCTGACTTTTCCAGGTCTGTCGCCACCCTGTTTAAGCAACAATGACTACAATTGATTATTGCAAAGCTTTTATTTCTCATTTTTCCATTATATGAAATGTATGGTAATAAACATAATTTCCTAAAAACAAATTTTATTTATAAAAATAAAAAATTTAAAAATAACGATTTTTCAAATATTTTTCATGTAAAGAGGTTATGAGGTTATGTTCTCACAGATCTCTGTCATAGAAATTGATCTGTATTTATCAGAGGCAAACTTGTTGCTTACTAAAATTTATGTTTAAAATAAAGAAATCTACTGATTGCTTCAATTATTTTCATTAAAATCTAAATATTAAGGATAGAAACATTAAGTTTGTCACTTATAAATATGAACTAATTCATATGACAGAAATCTAGCAGAAAAACAAAAATCATTATTTTAAACTTTTTTATTTTATAAATAAAATGTGTTTTTAGACATTTATGTTTATTACAATTCATTCCATATCCCAGAGAAACAAGAAATAAAAGCTTTGCAACAGTTAATAGCCGTAATTTTTGCAGAAAACAGGAGTACTTTAAGGTAACTGGATAAGAAATCACATCATTTCTTAACACAAGTTGTGTTGAATCTCAACTCACAATTTCCCTAGGAAACCTTAACTGAATTAATATGGACTTTAAGCTTATTAAATGCAGAAGTTTTTGTAGAAGTGGGGTAACAATAGTATAGTAGGATGACGATAAAAAAAAAATCAAATAATTTACGACTTTTATGTTTAAATGGAACTTGACTGAGTTTGTCTGCTCAAATAGTCCTCTTTAAATGGTTTTAACAATGACAAAATCTACTTTCGTTTAAAGTAAATTTTGTCTAGTTTACTATGACGCAATGTTTAGTTACTAAAATAAAATATTTTTATGTTATCGCTTCCTATTCAACAGAAAACTTGACTCGCTTAAAAAAAAAAAAAAAAAAAAAAAAAAAAAAAAAAAATTAAATTTCCTGATTTTATGCTATAAATTGGGCAATTGTTAATATGAACTTTTTTGTAGATCTTGATGTCTACTATCAATCTTTTGAATATTTTGCTCTACTTACAGGACACCCAGTATATTTGCACAGAAAAAGAAGTGTTCAGGAAAATTGCAGCTTAAGGTATTTTAATTTTGTTTTCTAGTATATCTCGAATTAAGAGTTTCTTTTAAAAAAAAAAAACATTCACTTTTAAAAAATTAATTTGAAATTTGAAAATTATTATTATTATTCGGATTCAGAATTTTTCAGTTCATTTACAGAAAAAATATGATCTTAAACCACACCGGCTTATTGGAAAGAAAACTGTTACTTGCAAATCTGACTCAAAGAGCTACATTTGATTGGTAATATGTTTAAAAATACCTGGTATTGCTACATTACAAGTATGCTTAATAAACCAAAAAAAAAAAGCTTAAATTTTAGAGTTATTATCATTATCAATAAAAACAGTATCTATATTGCACAAAGCTAATACACTGTACCTGCAGTATTTGGCTAGCTTCAAAAGCAGTCCCAGGAAGAAGGACTACTGGATTGGAGACATGACCAGATTTTACACAAATCATATTAGGATATTCAGTAGGTCCAAAGTCTGAGACATCTTTGGCATGATCTGACCATGGATTCCAAATTACTAAAAAATTAAAACGTCAAAAATTCACAGTTATGCAAATAGTATATATTCTGTTTCTTTTTCATCAATATTATTTAAAATTTCTAGCAGTATAACATTAAGTTATAACCAATAGATATGCTTAATAAGATTTATGAAACACCAATAAACAATGCAGAAGCAAAATGGCATCCATTCAATTGGTATAAAGTATAAGATTGTAATAATAATTGATATCTTAACAGTAGTCACTTACGCAATAAACACAGGGGATGGGTCAAAACAAAGGGGATTGTGTTAAAATTCCCAACGAATTATCTACACTTAATAAGGTATACTTTGAATGGGTTCCAGGTCACTCTGGAATTCATGGTAATGAAATGGCTGATGAACTAGCCAGAAAGGGCTCACAAACGACACCCATAGCTCTTAAACCCATCTGTGGAATTAGTCAGTGTCTAATAAATAACAGAATAGGGGAGATTTATAGTGCTGAAGCTAAAAAGAACTGGTGCTTGAAAGAACAGGTTCACTTTAGATTGTTCCTGGAAGAAATTTGTCAGAAAAGAAGCAACCTACTAATTATTTTGAGCAAGAGCTCGATAAAGAAAATTACAACGGTATGTACTGGACACTGTAAACTGAATTATCACAGGTTTAATCTCCAGCTCACAGAGTCATCTCTCTGTAGGTACTGTGGCCAGGAGGATGAAACAGCTTATCATATTACTTGTAGGTGAGACAGGTTTGCTGGACTAAGATTCCGACTATTCGGCATTGATTGGGTGATTGATCTCAAGGCAAATGAGCTCATCAATCCAACAAGCTTACTTTAGTGTACTGAGACTGCTAGAGTTGCGCTTTACTTTAATAGAGGCATACAATAGGCCTTCATGGCTGCATTGCATCCATACCGCTATAAAAAATTAAAAAATAAATAAAAAAATGGGAGAGGGTATATAGATCAATAGGTCGAGATCTGGAATTAAGAGAGTGGATAGAGCAACCTAGAGTAAGGAGTTCACACAGTATGGATGGATGAAAAGATGCCATATATATATATATATATATATATATATATATATATATATATATATGAGATAATAATTACATACCTGTATCTGGAAAGTTGTACTTTTGTACCCTCATTTTCCTTCCAGATACAACATTTGTAATAACATGTTCTTGGCTAGTGTTTTGGTAAATTCGATCAGTCCATTCATTGATAGTCACAGACTCTCTTCCTTCTTGAAAGACACCTACTCTAGTCTAAAATAAAAAAAAAATAATTAAATTTTAGCAACTGTCAAAGAAAAATATATTTAAAAAAGTGTTTTATAGCTGCCACCAGTTTTACACATTTACAAGTTTTACATTAGCAGTACTGGTACTGTTAATGGTGGGGTGAACTTGTCTATCGAGTCGACCTTGTGATCATTTTACCGACCCCTGATCTCGACCTTTCGTGTGAGTGTAAAGATAATTTCTCTGTATTGCTGAAAAATGCATATCAATTGACCCAGGTGGGAATCAAACCTACATCGTTAGGAAAGAAATATTCTAGGGTCCTCACCAATATTTACATACATAAAAGATAAACTTCAAATAATTTATATGGAAGTTAAACTTAAACTTTCAAACTCATCTAACACCATCCATCATAAAATTGCTTTATTTTACCAAATATTGACTACTTATGTTTTACAATCCACAAAATTCTGAAGTTTTGTGTCATTTAAGTGAACTACAGTACTATTTTTTTCTCTCTCTCTCTTTTCAGGAGTTTCACCTACAAAATTGTTTTTATTATTTATTAAGGCCAAGATATAATTTGGAATTAAATATTCTTAATATGGCTTGATCATTTAACACACACAAAGAGCTTTCAGAAACTATATATACCTAGTCCTGTCATAAATATTGTTACAAGGAAATATATACAGATTTCAACAGAAAAATTATTTTTTTCAAACATTTTATTCGAAAATAAAATGTATATCTATAAAGAGTAAAACAAAAAAGAAATTACTCAAAATGTCCCCCCTTTACCTTGACACAGGCATTTAATCTCTCAAAATTTAAGCGCTCAACTGCTCAGACCAGAGATTGTTTTGAGGTTTTCCAAGTTAGAGTATGCTCTGTGGTATGCCATCTTCTCTAGTTAGGACCAAAGCTGATAATCTAGTGGGTTGAGATCAGGGCTTCATAAGAGACGATCCGATGCAGAGATGAACTCTGGAATGTTCTTTTGCAGCCACTGCTGAGTTGACCTGGTCTTGTGAGGTGGAGTGGAATCCTGCTGGAAAACTCAATGACTTCCAACAGAGTATCATTTAGAGGCTTGACAACAGGTTCCAAAATATCGTCCTGATAGTTTTTAGCGGCTGTTTTAACTCCTTTTTCACAAAAATGGAGCTTTGTAGTGCCATCAAAGCAAACTCCCCACCAAACCATTACTGAGGAAGGGTGATCACCTCTTTCCACTCTTCCAGTAACATCCTGGGCTTCTTCAGAGCTGTGTGCGTACACATGATCATTTTGGTGGTCAAATTTTTCTTCAATTGTAAAAATGTTCTCATCGCTGAACAAAATCGTTCGATGAAGACCATTGGTGTAACAGTCAAGGAGCACTTTGCATCTATCCACTCAATTTTTTTTTTGGAAGTGGTTAGCCTTTGTCCTGTCATTCTTCGAAATGCACTCATCCTAAGGTCACTTTTTATTATGCGGGACATTGATCTGACCGAGATTCCCATTTCCCAAGACATGATTTGTTGTTTTCGCATGGGATTTCTTCTGATTCAAGTAGCCACTGCTCTCACTGCATTTGCCGTTCTCACAGTGCGGGGACAGCCCAGTCAAAGTTTGTCACATACAGATAGAGGCTCATTATATCTATTTATAGCGCGGTACACGAACATACGGCTGGTACTTAAAGGTTTTAAAGTGTTGAAAATCTCTGACCAACATTTTAACTTTGTATAAGGTGATCACAGCTATTCGGTTTTCTTTATCCTCCCATTCCATGTTAACTGAGCGAAAGAAAAATACAAACTAATTGGGGTTATTATCCTGACATGTAAAGAAAATAACCTCATAGAGGCAAGGATTATCTAAATAATACCCAAGGATGTAAATAAAGTTCAACTTTGTAACAGTATTTAAGGCAGAACTAGGTGCGAGTTCTTATGCTTCAACACCCATTAGAGTTGTAGAGTTCACTGTTCTTTTTTTTCTTTTTATTTTGCTGTTAAAATTCAGCATGTGACCTTATATTAGGTGACCATTTAACAACATTATTTAAAAAAAAATAAAATGTATTACAGAGTAAATAAAAAAAAAAACTAAGAATCTAGTAAATCTCAAATTTAAATTTAAAAAAGAATGTCATATGAAATACATTAGTATGAAAAACAACTCAACATCACTTCATACCAATTGATATTATTTTGTACTACACGAATATTTTGTCGAATGTAGATCAGAATGGGGAGGAGTGGGGGAATACTGCATAAGCCTTTGATTCTAGATTACTTAGCCCTATAATGCTTTAATTTATTTAATCAAATATAGCCACAATATTTAAACATTTCTCTTATTTGAATTTCTTTGAGGTGGTTTACTAATTGTTAATACTTTTCATTACTACCCCATGTCAACCAAACACATTTAAATCATTAATGTTTCTATCACTATTCCTCATCAAGTCAAAAACTATATAGGAAAATATTAAGTACTATTAAAAAATTGGCAGAAGTTAATTATAATTTTTCATTCCTTCATTACATTTTAATTACTCAAATCTGTAAGACCTGCACACTCTTCCCACCTGATTTCTGGCTATCCCTTGTGACAGTAAGGGCATGTTACCACAAGCCTTAAGATAGTGGAATAATGAGACACAAAATGTTCTCTAATATATATAACAATAAAAATTGCATGGAAGTCTGAAAGATCAATACTAATTTTTAGTCTAATCTTTATATATAATATGCATTATAATCTTTATATATAATATGCACACACTACAAATAAAATGCTTTTCAAAAATATTAATTGATTATTTATGTTAAAATTTAAATTCGACTAAAACCAAATGCATACCTTATCAATAAAAGTACATCCATGAAGACCAGTAATTTGACAACGTCTAACATCAGGAACTTTAAAATAGGTATGAAGCAGCAAATTAAATTTAAATGTTACTTCTTTACTAGGATTAAATACAGCAATTATAAAATGTAATTCTTTTTCTCTGAGTATTAGCCTATAAGTCAATCTAAAACTAAAAAGCAACAAAAACAGATATGTTAATACATTTTAATGTTAGAAAGGTTATCAACTAGGAAAACAAAAATATCATTAGAAGTTATTTATAAGACTAAAAAAAAAAGTTATTATTAGGCAGATTTGTTGAAGTTATATTCATATTATTAAATATTTGGGAGAAAAAGAAGCAAAGAAGAAAGGAAAAGAACAACTCCAAGCAATAGTACTGAAGCAATTTCCTTATAAATGGTTTGAAAAATGTTAATTAAATTTACCATTTCAGTGTAAAAATAAGTGGTATTCAGGAAGATATTTTCTTCACTAAAATAGTCTGACAGGGCTATAATGCCAAATTTCCAAAATATCTACCTCGTATCTCTTTATTTATTTCAGACAATTATCCATCTCACATAGCAGCTAGGTATAAAACACTGTTAAAATTATACTAAGAAACACTCTTCACAACTAATATAATTTTAGTGAAGATATTTAAATATACAAGTAACTTAATAATAATAATAAAAACACAACTATAAACCTAAATAAATTTTAAAAACATTTTTAATCATTAGTGAAATAGTTATTTTTTATGCTAATTGTTATATTTTCCATATAAGAAAATTTTCCTGATGATTGGTTATAGGCTGGCTCTAAACTTTGACGATGGAATATAACTAATAAATTATTTATGAAGAAATTTCTTCTAGAAAACCCTATAAACATGTTCATATAATTTTAGAATTAGTTAATATAATAATAGACTCTAGAAAAGCTCTGAAATGCATAGATCTGTTAAACTGCTCAATTTCACTGAGTCACAATACTTTCCTTACCCTGATGGTAAAGATAGAAGATAGAAATCGTTAGTATTTTATTTCAATTTTTTTTTCTTCATTTTTTTTTTTTTTTTGAGGTGTCTAACTTTTAACTTTGGAGCACCTTTAGTTTTGACAAGTCAGTCTGTTTTAGTTCCTATTTGATATGAATTTTAAGTTTAAATTAGAATTTTATGTTTAAAATAAAGAAACCTCCTGATTGCTTGAATTATTTATATGAAAACATAAATAATAGGCTTAGGAACATTAATTTGGTCATTTATAAATATGGACCAATTCCTACAAAAGAGATCTGAGTAAAAAACACAGTTACAGCACTGTAAGCTTTTTAAGGGCTGCTCTATCCAAGCTCAGTAGCAGCTTACTTTTTTATTACAAGGCCCTTTAAGGAACAGCTTTGAGTGCCGTTGTTCCTTTTCAGACCAGTATTGTTTAAATTTTTTGCAATATAGTTTCTTGATCCTTCTTTTGGCAGTACTATGACTGATTCCACAAACAGGTTCATGAGTCATGGAAATATTGTCTGAGCCTAACCTGGCTAGGTTATCAGCCTATTAGTTGTCTGGAATGCCAGAGTGACGAGGCACCCACTCAATTGCAACCCTGTTAAGCTCAGCAAGATTGTTAAGCGCTGTACTGCAATCTTTAACAACCAGTGAATAAAGGTAATAATTATTATAAGCACCTATTGCTGCCTGACTGTCAGAGTAGATTATTATATTTTTTTCAGTCACTCGTCCAAGCAATAGATTTTGAGCACAATGGCAGATTGCCAGTACTTCAGATTGAAATATTGAAGCATATTTGCCAAGGGAAATTGAAAATTTGTCTTTATTATGTTTATGACAGATTCTTAATCCTGAGCCATAAGCTGTAAGAGAGCCATCTGCATAACAATTTGTACCATATTTTGGTTTAGGTTGTCTGTTATATTAATATCAACACCATATTAGGTGTCTAGATACTCTCGGATTTGCATCTCACAGTGCATGGCTAGCATCTCATCATACTCAATCCTATTCAGCAATTTAGTATGTCCCTCCTGTTTAGGGATATAAGAGCAGCTTTTGAGCTTGCTCAGCCTGTATAATGTCCTTAATGCTTGAGCCTCAACCTCCAACTGCAGTGGTGGCATGCTGAAAATTTAGCTCCATAGAAGCTGTAGGGGAGGAACTCATTCCACCGGATATCATTACACAGGCTAGTCTTTGTAAACATAATAAGGTTTTATTAGCTTCAGATTTTGCTCTATGCCACCATAGCAAAGCTAAGTATAGTATAATGAGTCTGCCAGTCGTAAAATGTACAGCCAGTAAACCTTCTAGGTTTGAGACTCCAATTCTTTCCTATAGCTCCATCATCATAGCAAAAAATATTTGAGAGTAAAGTCCTCCACACAATAACTAAAGTGATCTGAGATAGAGTACTAACACATGGGTGAGAAGGACCAATTGTGCTTTAAGGAACTTGTCAATCAATATCTTGTAATATAAACGAAAGGAGGTTAAGATGAGCAGGAAATATAGCTCAGATCAATCTATCATGAAGCCAGTGCACAACAATGAATGTCTCAATAGTAGGCAAGAGACCATGTGGAAGGCCAAAAACCAGATGGATAGATCGAATCAACAGAAGATACAGCAGAGCTGCAAGCAGAAAACTGGAAATCTATAGTCCATGATAGGCAGATATGGAGAAGGCTGGTAAAGGCGGCATAAGATCTACAAGGTCTGTAAAACCAACAGAATAAAGCAACTAAACAATGGAAAATGAAGCAGGTGAAAATAAAAAAAAAGTACTTTTAGAATTAAAAAAAGAATACTTACGTATAGTTCCAATAATTGTTACGGATGAACTCATCGTCTCTCAGAGAAAATACTGCTTCTACATCTCCTCCTATTAAAGCTTCAGGTGGTTTTTCAACTTTCCAGCGACTTACTCTAGCAAAACCATGATTAGGAATTTGTGGATTTTCAGACCCGTATTGAGCTGAGAAAATAAAAAAAATTAACATGTTATTTAGCAATAAGAAAATATTACAGGAAACCTAAAAAAAAATGTAATTCAACTGCAGTAAAAAACAAATAATTAGAATACAGAGCAAAGGTAGAAAACAATAATACAAAAAAAATGTTAAAATTATATAGAAATTATTTCTTGACTACTAGAGAGCATTGGCAAGAACCCTTCGACACAGGTCTAATATTTGTATAAATCTCACTACTGTGACATCAGTATACATTTCATACAGTTCCTGATTGAGCCTGATTCTCCTGACGTCATTTTCCCATATGGGCCCATAGATACTTTTAAGTATACTTCTTTCGAAGACAGCGATCTTTTGTTTTTCTGCTTTCCTTAGCACCCAGGATTCACAGCTATAAGTCAGTATGGGCTTGATCAGGATTTTGTAGACTTCATGGCCTTCTTGTCCTTACTGATTACTTTTGTTTTAAAAAGTTTAATTAAACCATAATAATTCCTCGTAGCAGCTAAAATTCTCTTCTCTATTTCCTTGGAGGAGTTATTTTCAACATCTACAAACCACTCAAGGTACACAAATCTGTGAACCATTTCAAATTGGTATCCCTGTATCTCAGTACATACTTAAAACATACAACACTTAAAAGTAATACATAACTTAAATTTTACACTTTTATTTTTATTTAATTACCGAATTTCTGTTTAAAACCAAAGAAAGGTCCATATGAATGTTTTTTTTTTGCAAATGCGGTATGAAATCCATGCTTATGTTCCACTGATCCTAATACACCTTATATAATGAACATCACGTAACTAAAGATGATTAACTTTTAAAATTCATCAGAAACAGATAATGTGCTATTAATAGCAACGAAGTGAATAAGGCATCCTACTAATCACTTCAATTTAACTATACACAAGTCTTAAGTCACACATTTTATTGTAACAGTCACATCTAGCTTGAACAAATTGGAATGGACAAGTTACATAGCTTAGAAAAGAAAACTTTAGCATCAAAGATTAAATATATTATATGATTATATGTAATCATGCTATTAATTCTTTAACGACTGAAATGATTTACCAGCTCGGGGCACAATGATCCCCATGGACTGTAAGCTAATTAGAGATGGGCAGGTGAATAGTGAATCGAATCAAAGTGTAAATCCTCTGAAATAATCTAACTCTCAAGTGATTCACATGAAAGAATCACGATTCATGGATAACACAGGATTTGTTTCAGGAAATTTTCCAGTCTTGTTTACTTTCATTATCTAAATCTAGCCTATTCTTATTTACATTACTAATTTTGTTTATTTATTTATTTTTATCATTTTGTTTCTATTTGGTTCATTGATATATGGATATAGTTTTTTTTCCCCTCTTGTGCTTATATTTTTAATTACCTATTATTTTGTAAATACTTACTCTAATGTATGGCCGGGCCACACTGTCTTGTTTAATTTATTTTGTTTTTATAATTTATATACTGGAATTTTGTTATAACCTTTCTTTCTAAATATTTTTACACTAAATTTTGATCGCCTTCAAAGTATTCTTCCTTGACCACAAAGCACCTCTAAAAACGATCCTTCCATTGTTCAAAACTTTTTTAAATTCCCTTATCGGGATATTCTTTAGGCCTTCCAGCGATTTTTGTATAACTCCTCCTCAGAGGCAAAACGCTTTTCTTTCGTGTCCCTTATGAGTCTGAGGAACAAAAAGAAATCACTGGTACCGGTAAGGGAGGCGAACAATCGATATTATGCTGTTTTTAGTAAAAAATTGCTTTATGGAGGGCAGTGTGGGCCAGCGCATTGTCATGAAGAACCAGTCGCCTGTGCTCCTAAGATCTGACTTTTTCTCCCAGATTCTCTCTCAATTAAAACTTCCAAGTAGATCTTCTGGTAGATAGTTTGACCCTGACGAACGAACTCTGTGTGCACAATATCTGTACAGAAGAAACATATGAACACTCTCTTCATGTTTGACTTCACTTGACGAGCTTTTTTGGGACAAGGAGAGTCAGCTGTCTTTCACTGGCTTGATTGCTGCTTTGTTTCGGGGTCATATCCACAGCACCACGATTTACCACCTTGGAAAAAAATTGAGGCTCCTCTTTGAGTTGATTTTGAAGTTCAAAACATGCCTAAAGTCGATGCTCCCTTTGTTCGCCTCCGAGAAGACGAGAGACAAATTTGGCTGCAACTCTTCTCATGTGCAAATCATCAGATAAAATCCTCTGGATTGAACTACATGATATTCCAGACATCTCACAGAACTGATCAATGCATCACTTCTTGATGTTGAGGGGCGTCCTGCAAGGGATTGGTCTTTAATTGACATTTTTCCATTTTTTCAAAAAGTGAAAACCGCTGGTAGACTCTGGTTTTACTTAGGGAAGAATCGCAGTTTTAAGCATTAAAATTGTTTGCACTACCGATTTCCCCAACAGAAATCAAAATTTCACAGCCATGTGTTGCTGTTGACCTGAGCAAAGGCAAAGGTTTGAATGTAAATTATGAAAGTATGTGTTATTCTAAGTAAAATGAACCTTGTCTACCATTCCAGAGCTGCTGCTTTCAAAAATGGCAGCTGATTTTAAGAATATTAGGACAGTAATTTGAGGATCGAAACGGGAAACATATTTCGAAAAATGTGGGAAAAGTTATTTTTTAAAATTGTGTATATGGATTCAAATATGTAAAAACCAAAACAGCTAACGTGAGCAACCAAGGGAAAACTTTTTAAATAAAAAAAAGCCATATTTCCCCAATATATTTTTTTTTTTTCACCTATAACTTCTAAATGATGCATCAAAGCGAAAAACACGCTCTTTAAGTAATTAGAGACCATCAAATTTTGTGTCAAAAAAGTACCTAAACTTAATAATTTGGTTAAGAGGTATGGTATAAAACTACTACCAACTAACACTGATGATTATTACCAAATTTGTCAAAAACTGAAACAAAATACTATAAATGGCCATGTAGCTTGAAAATGAGTTTTCTAAGAGGAAAACCTATAAAGTAGAAGTTGTAAAGCATCAAATCCTGCATCCACTAAGTACCAACAGTTTTAATGTAGGACATTTACTCTACACAAAATCAGTAATCTCCTGATGGCAGAAAATTGGTAATGAAGGTATATGTGATTTTCAAAATTTAAACAGTTGTAATGTCAACATTACATGGCATTTGAATAGTGGCGCGAAGGTGGTAACGCCGCGAACTACGGGGAGGAAGTGGGGGAAGCAAGCCTCATGTAACTCAGAATGTGACGGGCCGCCAGGAGAGAATGTGACTGGCCGCCAAGAGGGAGGTTATGAGCTGCCAAGGCATAATGTGACAAGCTGTCAAGAGGGAAGGTGATGAGCTGCCAAGTGAGAAGGTGCTAGCCAGCAAGCTGAGAAGGTGAAAAAGGAGTCCTAGCCGGTTCGAGTGTTGATAAAGGCCACTAGTGGAGATTATTTTATGTTGGAAGAAAAACATAGCAGAAAAGAATTAAGTGGTACAGAAAACGGGACATTCGTAAGAAGAGATTATTTCGCTGACAGGCGTAAACATTTGGGTGAGTGCTAACAATGCCATTTATGTGACAGAGGGATAGAACCACAAAGTTTAGACTGGGACAATCAAGGTTTTTGAAAACAATAATAAATTTTATATGTATAATTTCTTAATGTATGTATCTAGTTTCTTTAAATGTATTTAGTAATTAGTAAATTGTAGTTATTTAATGTTGAATGAGTGTTCAGTTGTCAGAACCCAACCTGAGATTTATATTATATGTCAAAATAAATAGTATATTGAAAAAGGAAACTCGTTGTTTGATTTTGGAGGGAAAGAGGAACGTTACACAGTATTCTATGCCTATTCTACTGAGTTATTCTTATTTAGAGTCTGCTATATCCAGTATAGGCCTCTTTTCCACCCCTCAGCAGCGAAGGATTTTGAAAAACAATGTGTCAAAAGAAACTGAATTTCATGAAGAAATAAGTAATCCTGATTTGAGAGATGATTATTACCTAAATTAATAACATTCTTAATTGATAACAGACCTAAATTAAAATTATTGGTACTAAGTGGTCACAAAATTTGATGCTCTACAACTTTGATTCTATGTTTTTTTCCTCTTTTATAACTCATTTTCAAGCAGCATGGCCATTTATAGTAATTTGTCTCAGTTTTTGACAAATTTGGTAAAAATCAGCATTCGTTGACTATGATTTTCTACCATACCACTTAACCAAATTATTAAGTTTAGGTACTCTTTCGATGCACAATTTAACATTTCTTTAATTTACATAAAGAGTACATTATTCGCTTTGATGCACTAATTAGAAGTTACAGGTGAAAAAACAAAAAAATATGGCTTTTTTGTCTCTAAAAAGTTTTTCCTTGGTTCCATGTTTTCACTTCAAAATCCTACTACAACGACATTTCGGCTCATCAAGACATTTTCAAGTCTAAAAACAACTTTTCAGTTTACAACCATATCAAATATTATTTTGTTAAATTTTTCATGCAGTTATTTGCAGAATCATTGATACATTTTAAAAAATCTGGTGAGCACAACACACGACTTTCACTTACCGCTTAAGTTTGAATAGAAATTATCTTCAGGCAATGTTGAGATATTATAAAATTTTTGAATTGCATTTTTAACTGAGCTAAATCTAAAAGCTTACAGCAAACAAATCATAAATCCCATTAAAATAACAAAAGTCCTATTTATTATATCACTGGTTGATTATGGATTGTACGATCCGTTGATTGCGGATTGTACAATCCGTTGATTATGGATTGTATGACTATTAGTTATTAAACTGTTATTTTCCATTGCAAAGTTTGCTAAAATGGAATTAAGAGATTTGCATTGTCTGTCATAGACAGGTCAAAAGTTATCACACTAATTGTAAGTGGATACGGTTGGAATATCACAAAAGAAAATTTCATCAAACTATTCAATAATTTAATTTTATAAAAGGTTACATAATGATTTCA